AATGCTATTGGTTGATCGTTAACCATGAGTTCCGCACAGAGATGTCCAGATACACCTGCAATGTTAGTACTAACTTGTCTAATCAAGTACTCAGGCTCCGCATAATAGTCATTGCCCTCTTCTACACTGTGTACACGAGTATTAACACCTTGCTTACAGTACTTAGCAAAATGGTTTTTTCCTTTACACTTCTTACAAGTCTTTCCGTATGCCGGACATGCTTCTTTTTTCCATGCATGTGCGCCACCACAATACTTGCAATGGTTTATTTGTCTCTGAGTCTGTCCTTTGTGTGGTCTCTGTTGTGGAGGGGGTCCTCTCTGGGGCCGCTGAGAATGTTTAGAGTCACGTGGAGTTTTTACACTATGAACAGAATCCTCCTTTGAGTCTGTTGATTTGCCTATTTCCGATGCTTGCTGTGTAGCTGACTCATCAGCCTTACAAATGTTTATGGCTTTTCCCAGGTTGAGTTGTGATTCCGCAAGGAGTTTGCGTCTTGTATGTTCCTTGTTAACACCACACACTATTTTGTCACGGAGTAGAGAGTCCTCGAGTGCACCAAAATTACAGGACTTGGAGAGTACACGGATTGCTCCGAGAAATGTATCAAAAGTTTCCCCTTTTTTCTGAGAGCGAATGTTAAACTTGTACCTTTCATAAGTTTCATTTGTAGTCCCAATGAAGTGAGTTTCAAGCACTTTGAGAATACGGTCAGCATCTTTGCGGTGAGCTTGGTCCTCAAATGGAAGCGTTTCCAGTAGTTCTAGGACTTCTGCGGTCAAATATGATTGGAGAATGGAAGCTCGGATAGTCGCATCCTGTTCCTTGACACGAGCGCCGACTTCGTACACTTTCCACCCGCGCTCAAAACGGCGGAAGTTTAGAGCTGCATCACCTTCTAGAGAGAGTTTTCCTGGTCCCGGAACACTTTGATATATAGTTGGTGGATCACCCATATTGAATAGATATCTGAGGAAGGGTAATACTTCGGAGTTCTCAAATGTCATTCAAAAATGAGCTGATGCACTCAGTGACCTCATGTGTCGATCGAGTTGACAGTGTTCTGGTTCCCGAAATAATGAGAAAAATGCACAAAATAGTCACAACTTACAGTTGACGGACCGTTTAGTTCAATATTCACAAGTTTACCGCTGCCACCATGTTAGATTGTGGGGTATTTGGTAGATGATGAACCCAGAGTGATGAACACATGTAAGCTGAACACGTTTATTCTAAGACATAACAGACTCGCACACAAAACAAAAGAAATTATCTGATTGGCTAATAATGATACAGCTTAACTGGTTTTACTAATAAACGAAAGTCAGTAAAAGGTCAAACTAATAACAGGAATATAACAGTATTTCACCCCCTCCTTTTTGTTCTACAATCAAGTAAAATCATATAAATAAGCACCAAGTCTGTACTGTTCGTTTATACAAAGGTCTCGGACAAAAATGGAATAAAAAAAAAATTATAATCTCTGCACAAAATTCTAATTTTACAAAAAACGCAAGCCGTAACGATATCCCTATGGCAGAGTGTACTAATAATTGACCCGATTCTAAAACGAAAGTAGAACTTTTACACGTGGTTGACATGCAACAAGCACAAAGTTTGCATTAATGGAAAAAGTTAATTCAAATTATGATTTATTTTATTTTGTTTTTTAACTGACTGACCTCATATAACATGTTTAAGGAGTGGCGCATAATATTAGAAGCCATATGCCCATAGACTTTAAACTGTATACAATGAAAAAAGAATTAGCCTAAAGAAAGACGTGTATTTCATTGACTGAAAATCACACTGCATAAGATTTATGTCATGTAGTGTACAATACTTAAGCCTTAAAAAATAATTTAAAAGAGAGAGAGAGAGAGAGAGAGAGAGAGAGAGAGAGAGAGAGAGAGCTAGAAAGCGACACAATGATATAAAATTCGCAGGGAGGACATCGGAGAACTAGAGCGCGCTGTCTACATAATATATAAAAAAAATAATTAAAGATGCTTCAATTTAATTATTTAACCCTGTCACATTCTTTTATAAAATAACAAAGTGTACGCTTCAAGACTAGATTTTATGACAAATATTTAATACTGTCTTTTTAAAATGAGAGCTTAATTTAAAAGTAAATGGAAAAGGGGGGGTTCAGCTTAATTAATGTGCTCATGCATTTTCAGTTCTCCACACCGTCACGGTAAAATAAATTGATATTTACAACCATTGACTGTATTGAAGTATTAAAGATACCTACAAAAAGCTTTTGATGACATTACACATACATGTGAGAAGAAATATGAGATGAGATTTTCTTAACCTTTATGAACAAAAATTAAACTTTTTAAAAAAGTACTTGGGTAGAAGAAAAACCACTGCAAATACAACAGAATAATTTTCCTCAGATAATGTCATCTACGTATAAGGAGAAATTTAAAGAAAAAATATAAACATTTATGAAAGCTTATGTTAACATTATGGTCTAAAAATAATTATAATGGAATTAATAGCTGAAAACTGAAAACAAATTAATAAAACCTGACTTTTTTATTTAGAATAATTTATTTTGTAATTGACTGTAATGAATTTGTTAAAATACTTTAAAAAAAAAAAAACAATCATTTCTCAGGCTATTTTAATCCATTCCCAGGTTAAAAACAATGACCACAGTAATTATCAGTAAATCTCAGCATCGACAGTACCTCAACAGTAATTATCAGTAATTCTCAGCAGCGACAGTACCTCATCAGTATTTATCAGTATTTATCAGACTCCACAGTAAAAGACGACAGTAATTATCAGTATTTATCAGCAACACCTAAAATTATCAGCAACAACAGTAATAATAACAGTAAATATCAGTAATTATCAGCAAGAACAGCACCGTATCAGTAATTATCAAACATTATCAGTAAAATTGGGGATTCTCAGCACTTTTTTGTCCAGTAGTGATAATGAAGAAAAGACGTGCAAAATTACAAGACGTCTCATTTTAGATAAGGAAAAAGGGGCTGATCCCTCAAATTAGGGGCATAGAGGGACCAAAGGCCTTTCATCTGTAGCTCGTTTATGATCAATATTTTGTAATTCATCGCAGAAGTAAATATATTCATCTTAACACTTTGCAACAATATATTATAAATGTTTTATAATATGTTGCGTAACAAGGGGTCAAAGGGACCAGAATGCTAAATTTTTGCTGCATCATATCTCAAAAGGGGGGTATTTTGATATGCAATATTGAACAAAAGATGGTCAAATATATAATCTTCTTAACAATATGCACACTTGTAATTTTCGTAAAATGATCCCATTAAGGACTTGTAGGGATGACCCGTAAATCAGGGTTCTCCATGAGCTGTTTTACTGTGTTGCTCCCGACACAGTAAAATTTTATCCGACACAGTAACGATTTAAATTTTATGCGTGCGACACAGTAAAAATTTTGCCGACACAGTAAGATCTATGATAATCAGAAAATCAAAACACATAAATTCTAATTGAAACTTTAATCAAACAATCCTACTGTCTTCAATTATAACAGGTTAAGCACTTAATTAGGGCTTCACCTTGCATAATCAATTATCTCCTAGACCCTCGCTGGACTTTACGCATGAAGGAACAAAGACAAATAACTTGTTTTTACACTTGTATGTAACGGTTGTTGCTTTATAAAATACGTTGTACTATTTTTTAAACAATATGTCTTTTCTATAGATCTGAGGCTTTAGAATTATGTTGGTACTGCGGTAAGTCAAACGTAACTATAACCATCGTACCGAAATCATTTTCTTGATGTAGATAAATTGTTTAAATTTTTCAAGGATCGAGGTCATAAAAGTCTTTAACTATTTTGAAGTTTCTTTTCTTTTTTTTTTTTGGTAATCGATAATAATTTTATTCGATCAAGAAAACTGACAAAAATCATGGCAAATTTACTTACAAAATGGAAAACAGTTCGACTGTATCGACCAGGATTTCCTCTGTTTTTCAGAACATGTGTTTTTACTTTTATCAATATGTACCACCATACTATTTGTGTAACGAATTAGTAATTTTTAAAAGGAGTGTGTGATGTATTCTTATGTAATTATAATGAATAGTTATTCAGTTGCAAATTTGATCGCGAAAATGCCGCGAAATATTAGTGCTTCGCGTAAACTCTGTAAAACTTCAAATGATGGAGAACCCTGCGTAAATATTTCTATTCAGCATATCTCCACAACGAAAAGAAATCTCTGAATAGGTGTTGAACAAATTCTTTAAAATCACAAGATCTTTCATTTGAGATCAAGAAAAAGGGTCTGATAAAAAAAATTAATATCAAAAAGGCCATGCCCCGACCACCAATATTTTATACCCTTAATATGCTTTTTAATGTCCGTATACAATGTTGATGATTGTTTACACTTAAGAGTGACTTTTTTGCAAGTAAAATATATATATATGAAACAGATGTGTTACACTATAGAATATCTTTCATCTCAAGTTTCCCGGGATATATCGTATCGAGATAAATAAGGAAATAAGCATAGTTATATTGTTGATTGACAATACGTCGTCGAAATATCTTAATGACGAGTTGAAGGACAGAGTAAGTGTTCTTTTCACATATCAGATTTTGTACAAATCCTGCTATATATGAATACAAAATAGCTCTGCTAATAACGCAGCGAAATAATTACCCATAGGAATTTTAATAGATTGTGGGAAAACCTGGTATTCAAAAAGCACTTGGATTGTGACAATCAGAAACTCATGCATCTTTGTCAACTTCAGAGTATTTCTGTGTACATTCAGAATGTTTCATTACAAAATTATTTGCAAATGTCAAATGACATTTTTATTCGATGAACTACGACGATTCACGCTTGTATATTTATTAGGAACTTTAATGACAAAAAGAGTTGGCAAAAATGTCCTAGGTCGAAAAAAATGAATTTAATTCCTGTGTTTTATAATAATATAACAATTTTTCGTTTATGAAAATGAACCCATGCAAAGCACTTTTTTAAATACGGAATTGTCAACTTTAATTTTGCATGAATCATTGATCACGACAAATATTTGTTTTTTTTTTTATCTACAAAACCAAACATTTCATACATTTTCATACAGGATGGTGTCATTTGCATAGAAGTCGATTTGTTTAGAATTCATATCATTATAGTAATGATTATCGCCTGTCACATCATTTTGGCCACAAATGTAGCGCATTGAATCCTTATTTGAATCTGATTTTCCACTGCATTCCTCTTTAATTTCCTTCATGTCATTTTGCTTTATTTTCTTGTATAAAACTCGTATTCCTATGCTAAGAATAGCGACGACGAATAGTGATGAACCAACAAGGGTAATGATTGATGGAGTTTTCAAAAACCAATCACCTGTATAAAAAAATCATAGTATAGGGGCCTATATATAAAAGGAAAAAATGAATATTGTGTTTGACCATGTTCATCTTTTAAAAAAAATCTTGACATGTCTGTGTTAAGTGATATTTAAAAATTCAGGCAAAAACAAACACCTTTCATAACAATATTGACAAATTTTAAAGAGGATGAAACATCAACTATTTAGTTTCCTGAAAGTTGATAGCTTGATAATTATTAGGAAAATATAACTCAGAAAAAAATCGTTTGTTTAAAAATATTTTACTTGTTCATTGTAAGTTTTGTAATAACTAGATTTCCTTACCAGCATCTGCTTTCGCCGTAAACGGTGGTACTGAAAGAAAACAAGAAGCCCAGGGGCTACATCACTCACCTGCGTACTGTGGTTAGGAAAAAAGAAGCAAAAATCAGTTTAGTATTTAAAAGCTTAAATGCCTGAGTGGTCTCAATCTACCACAAAAAGGCAGAAGGAGTAAGGTGGAGCGGATACGATATAAACAAACTTGAATCTAAACTATTTGGTGGCTCCCAATATGACTTACCATGACTTTGCTGTTCTTGAGAAGAATATTGTTCCCATAATCCTACATAAAACTTTGATCATCCATTGTGGCTCCGCCCTTACTTGGGCGTTGTGATTTTGAACAAACTTGAACCTAAACTACCTGGGGATGATTTCACATAAATATGAAAAATTACAATTTTGTTGTGCCTTAGAAGATTTTTTTAAAGATTATTCTTCCCATGCTAAGTTCTCATCGTCCATTGTGGCTCCACCCTACCCCCGGGGGTCATATTTTTTAACACACTTGAATCTACACCACCTGAGGATGCTTTAATATAAATATGACCAACCATGGCTTTGATGTTCTCAAGAAGATTTTAGAGACTTTTCCGATATATTCTTATTTTAATCTTTGATCGTCCATAGTTGCCCCACCCTATCCTTTCCCTTGGGTCATGATTTGTACAAATTTGAATCTACAACACCAGCAGATGTTTCCATATAAATATGACAAATAATGGCTTAGCTGTTCTTGAGAAGATTTTTTAAAATTTGACTCCACTATTATAAGTGATTTTAAATAGTATTCTAAGGCCAAAAGAACCAAAATAACAAAGGGCTACAATAGATTTTTTCCTATTTATTCCTAGGTAAAACTTTGATTAGCCATCGCAGCCCCACCCTAAACCCGGGTGTCATGATTTATACAAAATTTAATCTACACTACATGCAGATGCTTCCATTTAAATTTTACCAATCACTGTTTTGCTGTTCTTGAGGAATTTTTAAAAAAAATTTTCCTATATGTTCCTAAACATAACTTTGATTAGTCATTGCAGCCCCGCCCTACACCCGGGGTCATGATTTGGACAAAATTGAATTGACACTATCTGGGGATGCTTCCATTGAGTTTCATAATTCCTGGCCAAGTAGTTCTTGAAAAGATTTTTTAAAAAGATGCCATTAATTTTTTTTTGCTAATTCAAAATTATCCCTCTTTTGGAAGAAAACGTGGCCCTTCATTTGAACAAATTTGAATTCCTTTTACCCAAGGTTACTTTGTGGCAATTTGGTTAAAATTGATCCAGTGCGTCTTCAGAAAAAGATGAAAATATGAAATGTTAACGACGACAACAACAACAACCACAGATAACGGACACATTTTGATCATAAAAGCTTCTTTGAGCCTTTGGCTCAGTTGAGCTAAAAATAATATCAGCATAGATTTAAAAGAAAACTTTTTTTGAGTATTGAAAAAATACTGTTATACTATCGTCTTAAAATTTTAGATGCACATTTTCCTTTTAATTTTTATTGACTAGCGGTTTATTATTTTGAAATAAGCTATATTACGTTCCAAGCAAAAGGAACCGCTCCATCCAGATTCGCAACCATAACTACACCTCCCATCAGTTTTTGAGCAGGTTGTGTTGTTTTTGCAGTGGCCACAATCAAACACGCAGTTTGGTCCATATTTATAATCTTGACATTCTGAAAGTCCCGTAAAATTTATTATTCGAATATTTTAGACCTGAATTTTATTGCTTCAGCTGGTACACTGAAGTTGCAAATTAGATCAAAAATTAAAATAGCCTTGACCACCCTAGCCCAAAAGAAAGTTTTAAGTTCATGTTTAAAGGATTCTTGGTATGTAACAGGGTACTTCATACTCTTTCCCCTGGTTGTACTTGCTAAACAACAGGAGGAGTGGTGTGAAAAGAAGATTACAATTATAAGCAGTAAACGGAAACCAAAACTATGATTTAGCTCTATTCAATTATTATCTTTTTGTTTATCTACCATCGCATTTAGCGCCTTGCCAGTTTTCTGAGCATCCTTTTGGACATACCCCGGCATACTGATCACAATAGGTTCCAGTGATACATTTCCCACAAACATCCTCACAAAAATTTCCATAATGTCCAGGTATGCATGCTGTGATTAACAAAACAATTATGGCATTTTATACATATTCAAAAATGCAAAACGTTATTTTTTTATATTCGTTCCACGATTTTGCAAAGAATTGAATTTTTTTCAGGACTGAATTTACCTTTGAAGCAAAGGAAAGGGAATGAGGGACATCAATATAGCATTTGTGGGTACTGTAAGAGATTACATAATTTAGCTGCTTTTATTTTTTGCATTATTTTTCTGCTCCGGAAAAAAAAAACTTACAACAATCCAATGAAGTCATATAGGTATTGTTGCATCCATAAATACAAGAACCAGAAAATGCGTCACAATGTTTATCATGGCATCTCTGATAGCAAGGTGTACACTTTCCCCCGTAATGTTGCAAGGGACAACCTGAAATCATAAGCTGCAAACAACAGGGCTATCAAAGTCATCTATTTTTTTAAGTGTTGTCTGTTACATTTTTCAAATAAATATTCCTTTAATCTCTTTTTTGTTCAAGAAGATATATTTCTACATAGTTAATTTATATCTTCATGACATAGGGATGTTTAAGTGTTACTTTAGCTGTTAAGGGAAAAAAAATGATTTTCCAATATATCTTTTGTAATATTTTGATCTTTCATTGAAGCCCTATCCTTTCCCCAGGATTATGTTTTGAACAAGTTCAGTGTATATTCTTACAATTATTACATTATACATGCTAATATGTGTCTAATCATGGCCTGATTTGTTGAGGTAAAAAGTTGTAAATTGATATTTTACTAAAGCTTTAACTTAAAATTTTACCCCCTTTTGTAGATTAATCATAGCACTGTACCCAATTAATTTGAATATGTTTAATTTTAAAATGACACATTTACTGTTTCAAATCTTTTTAGAAGTTCTTACGAAAAGTCCTTTAATAAAATTGAAGTGAAACCATCCGTTTATTTTTAGATTGGTATAACATTTGTCTAAAGGGGACGTTTTGCAATTCAGTTGTGAAAAATACATAAGTAATTATGGAAGTTGAATTAAATATGTAAGAAGTTAACAGGCAGATATACAGATTGACACCGGATAAAGGATCTAAAAAGCTGATGTGAAATTATACATTGTGGAAAGGTGTCTTATATTGACTGTTAATACATCTTCAAGAAATTTTTCACACAGTCGGGTTTTCATACCATATTTCCCCACAAAAGGAGTCTATTGCTTCTTGATCTAGTTTTCGCTAAAATAGATAAACCGTTTGTGTAAGTAAGTCCTAATCCTTCATATGAAACAAATAATTCTAAGAAATATTTTTGACAAACCACATACCAATAACTAATACTTCGCAAATTTCAATAGTAGCAAAAGTTGGTTCATATCCTGTGCAGTTTGTGTCCAGAGGAGAATCCTTTGAATTATACAAAGCTAATCCTTGTGTCACTTTATTCACTTTTATCATCATCTCTTCCGTAGGGCAAACAGAGGGGTCGTTATTGTATACAATCTCTCCAGAATTAGATGGCGGGATAAAGGATGAGTCGTTGAAAACAAATACTGAAAACCCCGTATGTCGATTAACAGCTGGAATGAAGATATTTGTCCATTAAGTAGTTACATGAAAATATTTTAATCACTGATTATTAAGATAGAAAAAAACCGTTGATAGCTTTTGATATGTCAAATACAACTGATTTTTCATTCTTTCTTTACCTTTTTGCGCTTTGCAATAACAAGATCAAAAAGGAGCAAAATAAAATATATAATTTCCTTTTACGTCATATGTCTGTATAAATACAACGTATTGAAAAAAGAGTTTATTTCATATTATGCATCGTAGATATCGACATAAAAAAATGTTTTTAAGCAATTTAAGTCATAAGAAAGTGGTTACAAATCGAATCCAATGGAAAATTGTTCACTATATTTCTTGCTTTTCTACTTATGTAATGGATCTTTACAATTGGGATGTAAAATATATTATAATATTCAATTGATGTTCACTCCTCTATGGTACCTGATCCCACCTCCGATGCTTTGGAGGTTCGTATTTGCTCTGCTACTAATTTGTATTGTTTAATGGACTTTAATCTTGAAAACGGTTCGTTTTCTTTATATGTTTCATAATCAAATAACTTTATACATCTCATGTGCCTTTTTTCCGACAATGTATTGCATCAGCTTAATTTTCTAATTTGTTCATTATTCACGAAATGTGAGACTTAAAAGAAATTAAACGACTAACGCTGTGTTATGTGCTTTTTACTGAAAAATTCCATGGAGTCCTTTTCATGTTAAATCTAAATTAATCCCCAGTTGGAAATTACAGTTATAGCAGTCATAAATTATATATCTCATCGATAAAGAATACCATTGCTATTTTAAAGTGAAAAAAAATAAGATAAAATAATCACACAGGGGGAAACAGGTTGAAAATAACTAATTCAAGGTGTGCTTTTTGTAAGAGAATTTTTCCTATCAATTAAGCATGGATATTTCTTTCAAAAACACCCCAAATGTTTTAGTTGCATTTTGATAGATGCAAGGTACGCTATTTTTCCATTATTCCATGTATTTGTGTGAAAATTAAGAGCAAGATCTCATGTGAAAATGATTTTCTTTTGGCTTTATTTTTGTTTTCGAGGAAGGAGGTGGGATATAAATGAAAGTCAAATGTGTACATCTTTTCATGTGCTAATTATACATTTCTACTTTAGATCAAGGTACGGTAATATTTAGATATGAATTATATAGTATATTTTTCACATTTCCTTTTTAGATTTTACTTATTTTTCATGTTAATAAACAAATTGAAATGGAGTGTTCAATTGCGCCTTGGCAACTCTTGTCTTAATTCTTAGGAATATAATTCCTAATCGAAAATAAAAGTTTCATAAAAATTGTAGCCACTTCCTTTTTTTACAATACTATTGGATAGACGGGATACATTCCCCTTCTGTTCTCTATTTTAGCATATCACTATTTAATACCTTGATCATAATAATAATTATGGCTCTAGACAGTATGTCTCGCAACAGGAATAGGAAACTTAATAATACCCTTTTTTGCCCCCGTAAACGAAGTTTCGAGGTTTTAGTTTTTGTCGTGTCTGTCCATCTGCCAGTCTGTCTGTCTGTCTCGCTGTCTGTTTAGCTGTCTAGCTGTCTCTCTGTCTGTTGTCTGTCTGCCCGCGAAACGTTAACCTGGCCAATTACTTTTTATTTAGTGGAGCTATGACTTTCATATTTCACATGTGTATTTTTTTTATTACAAGACCTTTCTTTGGGTACCACCAGATTTGACCTTTTGACCTTAACCTTGGAGTTTAACCAACTTTTACACAAGAATTTTATATTTTTACTTTGGCTATATCTTTTGGATAGTAGATACCAATATTTTTATACTTCATATAAATAATCTTTGTGGCAAGTCCTCTTTATGAGTACCAACAACTTTGATATTTTGATTTTGACCTCGGATATTCTTGTACTTATGTACTAGGGCTTCCATAATTCAAATGTAATTCTTGTAAAAAGACGCATCATTGGAAACCAACAACTTTGACGCATTGTCATTGACCTTGGAGTTTGACCTACTTTTCAAATATAATCTTTAACATAATTAAGACATTATAACATAAGGACTTTCATACTTCAATATTTAGTCCTTGTGACAAGACCTTTCAATTAATATCAAGAACCTTAACCCTTTAACCTTGACCTTGGAGTTTGACCAATTTTTACACAAAAATCCAAACTTTTACTTTGGTCCTACTTTTTAAACGGTAGATACTAGGAATTTCATTTTTCAATTTTTTGTGGCTAGACCTTTCATTTAAAATTTACAGTTTTGACGCTTTGACCCCGATATTTCCGTAACTAGGAAAACAACTTTAACTTTGGTCATTATTTTTGAATGGTTAAATCTAGGGCTTTCATGCTTCACATATGTAATCCTTGTGATAGGGCGCTTCATCGGATACCAACCATTTTGACGCTTTGACTTTGACCTTGGAGTTTGAACTACTTTTCACAAACTTTAACCTGGGCAATAACTTTTGAACAGTATGGGCTTGAGATTTCATACTTCACATATGTAATCCTTGAGACAAGACATTTCATTAGAAATCAAAAACTATGACCCTTTCACTTGGGAGTTTGACCTACATTTTACAAACTTGGCCATAACTTTTGAACGGTAAGGGCCAGCGCTTTCATACTTCCCATATGTAATCTTTGAGACAAGGCCTTTCTTTAGTAACCAACAACCTTGACCCTTTGGCCTTGACCCCGGAGTTTGTACTACCTTAAAAACGATAATCTTCGTCATCACCTTTGAACAAGTGGTTCTAGTGTTTTGTATTTTACATTTGTATCTCTTGTGTAAAGGCCATACTTTAGGTACCAACATATTTTGATCTGCATTTGAGAAAGCTTAACCTTCGCTAACCTTCGCTATGTAGCCATACGGGGGCATCACAGACACATCTTGTTTTCTTTTCTTTAAGTTCTTTATCTGTGATACCTATTTCTCATGGCAATAACGTAATCTTATTTTGAAAAAATGTGTTAAATAATAAACAGGAATTTTAGTTTTCAATTCCATTTCAATACTTGTAGTATCACAATGTGGTAGAAAATATAAGGTTGCTTTTTTCCCTGGATTGTTTCGGTATATAAACAATTAAGGCACGAATATTTTGAAGATTCTGTTCACCAAAGTCGGCAATTTAGGAAATGTGATTTTTCTAAGGTGAACAAAGCGCCCTTCTTTGTTATGGAATGGATATTCAAAATATATAAGACAGTCAATGACGTTTAGTACAAAAACAAAACTCTGTAATAACAAATAAATCAATTATTTCGAAAGATGTCCCTTGGACACACGCAGAACACATTCTAGGTTGTTTTTCACTTGTCAGAGGTGGTCTAAGAATTTAGTTGCGATCGGACAAGGAAAAAATGATTTTTTTTTTACCCTGAAAGCAGTAACAACCGTATTATATTCATATGGGAGGCAGGTTGTATCATATAGTTATCTCATTGCTCACAGAACTTCTTATTTTTTGTGTGAAATGTTTCCGAATATATTTTTTTATTTACAATTTTTTTATGTTTGTCGTGTTGATGTGGATTTATCACAAAGAACTATGAACGATAGTATTGTTCTACCGCCTACCTGTAAGTCAATTCTCAAAAGTTAACATATTCGAATGATTTTCAAAATTTTTAAAGATATTTATATGAATTTTCATTAAACGTTACTTATTTGAGATAACAAAGAGAGATAACTCTATAATTTTGGTCAAACTTGTGTTTTCCACTATAGAAATCAACGGAAAACAGAAAATATTTTTAAAACATCTCCCCCCCCCCCCCCCCCCCGTGAAACAAAAATTCCTTTTTACAGGTAATATGGACTGTCATTTTACAAATATATGCCAAAGCTTTTTGTGTTTCACAGGGGGGACATAAGTTTATATACAAAAAACGACAAAAATACTGATTTTTCACCAATTTTATAGCTATTTACAACTAAATAATTGTATTTTATTAATTCATATATGTTTTATTTATTTGCGTAGAACAAAAGAAAAAAATATGAGATACATTTTATCATGTTTAAGAATATTTCAAAATATGGTGATTCTTGAAAGTTAGATTTCACTAGAAAATATCGTCCACCCCCCTTTTTTCAAGAGCTGGAATTAATGATAATTTAATATCTAGCGCTGGAATTAAAATGATTTATCAATTACCATAGAACCGTTCTTTGTATTAAACAAAGATTTAATGGCCAAATTGCCATTGATATTGAATTTAATGGGTGCAAAATGTAGGCGGGAATCAAGAGTTAGAGTTCTTAGTTCTTTCCGAATTCTGATATTTATCAGTTCTGTTGTGCTGGTTATAAACATGAAGAAGATGTTAATACTCTTAACATTATGAAAAATATCAAGTAAAACGAACACCTGTTTGGGTGCATATCATGAAATGTACTAAGCTCCCCAGGTATTTGTTTTTCTGTGTGCATTAATCGTATAGCTTCCAAATTCTTACCTGGCTAGCGATACCATAGGAAAACATTTTTATCAAGATGAAAGTTAACTCGGCAAAATGCACAATCCCATTGTTTAAGATTTATAAAGATTTTACTACACCGCTTACACCCGATTTCGCGAATTCAACGATACCCTAATATCGGGTATTATTCGCCATTTCACGGATAACACCCGATTTTGAGTATTCTCTTCAACCTGTATCATACTACACTATACCTGTATCATACTACACTATACCTCTGGTATGTTCATGAGTTCGCATTTTTTTTTTGCTGTTTATTAGTTAAATCTGTTTGATTTTAGTTTACATTATTGGATTTTTGATCTTAAAAAATATTTCTTTTTTCTTTTCATCTCTTTAACATGAAGAAACTGTAAAGGCTTACTTGAATTTCTAAAGAAAATTTTCAAAAATGCTACATTGGCCATGCGTTTTAGTGAGTGTTTCCACCATGCTGAGAGAATATGTGTATTAGCCAGAGTAATACTACATGTATCTTCACCAACATCTCTTTGAAGAAATCCATCAACTGCCTTGTCGGCTGTGTATATGGCAGGGTACCTATAAGATTCACTCTGTACCGGCTGGCCTGCATATTCTGAGAGTAGACTAAGGTTTTCTACAAATAATAACCAAACATGTTCATAACAAGTTGCCTACACTGTATATTCTTTTTCAATACAATAATTCGTCCACCTCCTAAATGGCATGCAACTCTTAAGTAGGCATTCAAGCAGGCTAAGATGCAGCAAAACTTGTTTAGTACGGACACGGATATTGCGAATTTACGGATATAGCGAAATCATCTTTGATCCCCAGCTATATATAAATCAAATGAGTTTCCTATATGGTTATAACGAATTATGGATACAGCGAAGCAATTTCAAAGGTCACAGTGACTTAGTTATAACCTAATTTTGCTGTAGTAAAATTTTTTGATAAAATGTCGTCTGAATCATAGATCTATTACATGTAAAGATTTGTCTAATACTTGAAATTTTTATCGACTAAGGATGCATTTTGATTTTCATGATCATTTGTTTACTTTGAAATTTTAATGATTCGCGTATAATATTTTGCTAAAATATTTATTTTTCAAAAAAGAAATATACATTTTTTTTTTAAAAATATTCTCAATATAACCCTGAAGGTATAACTAAAACATTCATTTAATCATTAAATCCCTTGTAAGTAGAAAATGGTTAACAGATCTATAATTCACATTAATAAAGAAAAAATTCTCTCATTAGTTTGAGTGGAAATGCATAATGTTTAATCATTTTTTGTTACCATTTGGTTTTTTTTTCTATATAGACAATATGAATTTAAAATTGAAAACATTTCCACAAAGATTTTTTGTAAATAATTCCAAATTTAGGGCTACAGGTTGACTAAACAGCCTTTAAAAATATTATCAATGCAAGAAAAAAGAATTTGATTTGGAATAATATTTCTGAATATTGTTCACTGAATGAAATATTAACGAAGATGTTTGAAGAAATGTTTTAGTGATTTTCTATATTCCCTTTATATAGATTTATCGTCGCCCGAGTGCCGCAATGGTTAGAACCTCTGTCATAATGGAAGGAGTTGATCCTTACGTCGCGGGTTTGAACCCCATTTTTGGACCCATTCTTCGGATGAACCCGATAAATCAAGGTCCTGTGTCGCAGTATGTTTCTGGCTGGAAAAATATTTATCATTGCTCAATGGCCATAAGTGCCGAGTAATAAACAAAATTTGGAACTTTACACATACAAGTTGTGGCGTTTCCATATGAGCGAAAAAGTCTCAAGAAGTGCCGAAATAACAAATAAAAAATTACCATGGATCATTAAAATGGCTGAAAGTTTTATTAACTATGTAGAATGATCATTCCAATGTGCACATGCTAGTATTCAACATTCATTTCTATGGAAACATATCATTTACTTTTAACGATAAATTTGCTAGTGCTGATTACTCATTTTAAAACGTTTGAAAATCCTGTCAAAAAGATTGATCCGAAATAGGTTCTTCATTAAAATTAAAAGAAAACCAAGAAAATTAAGTAAAAATCTAATTTTCCCAAAAAAAAAATTGTAGCTATTGATAGTAAAAATACGTATATATTAGGTTTATACAGTGTCCATGAAAGTACTACATAAATACAAGTCTCATTTTAATTATATCATCTTTACACCAAAGTTTGAGAACAAAAAATTACCAAAGCATTCTGCTGGAACAACGAAAAGAACAGCAAAAAACATCAACTTGGACAATTTTTTCATCCTCTTCCAAATATGCAACTGTATTCCTGTCAATCGTTTGAGAAAATGAAAAAGGAGAACATATAATATCCTCACAAATGTATCATGTATAAACGTAAAAAAAAAAAAACCGAGAACGGAAACAAAGAATTCTGAATTATTTCTTTTTTTATAATTTGCTATTTTTCCCCGTGTTATCTATTGTTTATTCATTGTTACACTAAATATATTCTTAATGTTCCATGTAAAAAAAAAATAATGAAAATAAATACCTTATGATTTCGTATTTTATAAGGAACCGAAACCAAGGATCTTTTAGTGATCTTTTATTTAAACAAAATGTTTCCCTTTCTCTTTATGATAATCAAATAAACTACCTCTTATGTAACATTTCAAGTGGACGTTTTTCCCCACAATGGAAAAGATAAAATGACAAAATCGATTAAAAATTATCATAAAGTGTAATAAACGCCTTTAACAATTTCCCTGTTTTGCATTATCCTCTGTTCATATAAAACTCTATGTCCATTTAAGTAGGGGTACAACTACGTCAGTTCAAGGTCAGTGCTCTGTTCAGAGTTTAACGAATTGAATATACCCGTGAAACATAAACTATTTTGTAAACAGGACACAAGCTTTGTGTAAACACCATGTTTGTTCAATTGTTAAAGGCTGCACACACCACTGAGCACGGACTGAAATTATACACTGAACACGTTTTACTTTCGAAAAGTTACACTTTGAATATTCTAGAGTATAGTTTTAATATTTTCCTTTATATACAACAAAACTGCCAGTCTTCTTATTTATTAAGAATATAATTCTAATTTGTGCAAGCCAATCAAACCCGACCAGACATTGGAAGTTTCAAAACCTTTAAGCTGAAATAAGATTCTTTTTATATTTTCTTGTGAAATACATGTACCCTTGTACACGTAATATGTAAGTCGTGATATTATAAAGAAGATTTGAGAAAATCTTTATTTTCAAATCTATTTCTGAGCATCTTTAAGGTTTATGCTCAAATGCATACTTAAGCATGAATATATTCTTAGCCAAGAAAAAAATATTCATAAAAATTTTATGTGTATTTCTTTGCTAAGAAAAGAAATATTCATAAAAATTCTAAGTTTAATTCTTAGCTAAGTTCAATTCTGAGAAAATTAGAACACTGAATGTCACCATAGTTACGCAAAGAAATTCCAGAACAAAAAATGTACATATTTTATGATGGCTGTATTTACTTCTATGTCTATTACATCATAACTGAAATGTACAGCCATGTTATAAACATTGCACATTTGTATTGTAATAGATAGCGTATGTGGCTTTGTCCACTTCCTTGGAACCGGCAGGGATATTTAGAAATAGACTCATCCAATAGGCTGAGCACCCCTCTCAGTAGGTAGAGTGATCCATGAGTATAAAAATAAGACGCTGGCAGCTGCAAGGCCTTTTTGGACGGAATCGGTTGTTGAAATCCAAAAAAAAAGCTAAAGAAGAGAGCGCCATGTAATAAAGTTATTACTGAAGTAATAAAAGATCAAAGGTTAGAAGTGAGACACTAGTAGAAAATGAGCAGTCCAGAGCAATTTTGATGAGGAACAGGGACAAAATAGTTCTGTATAAGGGTGAAGAACCTGGTACTTCACTATGCAATAAGAACTCTGGCTGTTCCAGGAACACAATGTAGGTTACCTTGCTCATGAACCATTCAATTTATCTGAAAATAGATTTTATCAATAATAACTCAGACAGAGTAAAAGGAAATATATGAAAATATTAATGAACGGACTTCAAGTCCCTTGTAGAATTCAGGAGGTTTATACGTTAAAGGATCAAACCAGTTGATAAATATCTCAATGTAAAAAAAGTTTTATTAGTTGTTGTAGAACAATTTCATAATTAAAAGATTAAAATTTCTTTTGTTCATTATTGTTTTTTATTGATAAAGAAAAATTAAGAATTCTTATCTACTTTAGATTCCTTTGGAGGACACTTAGATTTATGTCAATACTTAAGTGCGAAATATGTTTTTAAATAACCTTAAAGTATTTCTACCAATTGAAGTAAAAGGTATAGAAATGAAGTAAAAATGCATAGCAAAAGTGATTTTGGGAAAATAATTATATATCAAGAAGTTTTATAAATCCCGGCCGAGGTCTAAATGTAAACCCCTTCAATGGTTTATGGTGACGTCTTTATATGCGTGAAAAACTATCGAAAAAAAAGTAAAACAACATTCAATCAGTCAAAATTTATACCCTCGGCTTGAAAAGTTGGAGGGTATATATTAATCGGTATGTTCCTTCGTCTGTACGTCTAGCTGTCCGTCCATTCGTCCCTCTGTCTGGTACGTTTTGGGTTACCCATCCGCAACTTCTCTTTTACAACTGAGTGGAATTTTATGTATCTTTCACAGAATGTTTGTTACAAATTTTTATTGTGTACCTCCTATTATACTGTTTGATTAGACACGTACATGTATTTTCGGTTTCCCATAGCAAAACACGGACATTGCTTTTATATTCTTACTTATGATGTGAGGTATGGCGGTTTCAGAATAACATTAGATACCACGAGTTATTCTTCTTTACAAGTTACGGTAAAACATTATTTAGCAAAAATGGACATTAGGGGAGGCGGGGGTATCATTTACTGAGTTTATTGCTCACAGGACCCCTAGTTTTGAAATGGCTTTCTTTGCTTAAAAGACATGAGCATGACTCCTAATAAATATCCATTATCGTCGTCAGATAGGAACGTCCAGAAACATATCCTTGCATGTTTTTTTTTTGGTTATTTTTAAAACATGACAAAGAGTACACGTTGGGAATGACCGATCGGCAGGGGATGATAACCCCTCAACTTTTTAGTGGCCATTCTTTGTTCTGTTCCTAATTTGTAATGTTAAATGGACTTTTGAGATTGAATACTGTTCATTGTTTGCACATATTGTCTGAATCTCCGTCATATACATTTCAAATCTGTTAGTTTGTCCGTTTTTACGTCCCTTTCAAGATTTAAGTTTCATATTAAGTTACCACCACTTTCTGGTGGATGGTTGCAAATGTCGGCCTGGAGTTATCTTTTTCGTGCCAGCACTACAGGCACTTTTTTCTGAAATAAATTTTTGACACATAGTATAATAATAACACAAGGTATCTAACTCCGATGTACACTGAGTACCCCCTCCCGTAGAATTGGGCTCATTTACACTTTCAGAGGAAATGCACGGGGAAACTGTTCATACCTATGCCTTCTACGATTATTTATCTACACAAACATATCTGGCATGCTTGTCTTAATTTTCTTTTATCTCCATAATCAGCCTCAAAACTCTTCTCGCCGAGTGGAAAGTGTAATTTGACCATAGAATGGTATCTTATAGTCTCAGACTGAATGCATAAAATCAAAATCAAGGAGAAAAAGAATTAAATAATACTTCCTATATTTTGAGAAAAATAAAAGAAATTCACTTCAAGAAAAATATCGTGAAACTAAAGTTTCCAAGTTCAACGATATACACTTAATTATAAATCATTAAATCAATAGCTATTGTCTCTACTATTTTTTTCATTTTATTATATATATGGGAAGAAAATTGTGAGGTGGCACAAGAGAGGAGGAGTCTTAAGAATGCAGATCTCTTAGCAGACTGCAGGTATAAAGGCTGGAGTGTCTGGCTGTATTGAGGTAAGCTGTAGAAATTTCTTAGCGCAATCAGTGTGGAAGCTGCTAACGCGATTAGATGTGTCAGAAAGATTTTTCAAGAAAGCAGCAAGATGACTGGGAGAAGCAACAGAAAATTCATCCAGTTGGATATGTCACCGCTGAGATGAACTTGCTGGAAGTCAGGATCCATCGAGTAGAAGAATGCTTAAGAGTGCCAAGTTGACAGCAGAAAACCAGTCTCGTTTAAAAATCATCATTTCATAAGATCTATAGTCGATATAATGACCTTGTCGGTAAATACCGTTTATCATTGAGTCAAATACTGACTAACGTTTTTCATACTTATTGTTATTCCTTTATTTAAACACTGAATTTACGATGGATTTTTCCTTAATCCCGAATATGAGAAGGAGCATACAGCGGGTGTGACCAATTATCAGGAAAAAAAACCTCCTACATGGCACCTGATCCCACCCCTGATGTTTTGAAGGTCCGTGTTTGCTCCGCTTCTATTCTGTAAAGTTTAATTGACTTAAGATCCTGACAAATTTTCGTCATTTCTACACATTTATTATATGGAGGAGACTTAATATCATCATGTCACAGTTTTTAGAAAAGTTAATATTTCTTTGAATTGTTTTTCTTCTTGGGCTTGGAGAATACCTTCCATCCCCCTCCCCACCCCCCAAAAAGCACAACAAGAGTAATCATGATACAATTCTTTTATCTTTCAGTAGCACTAATTTTCTAAAAGAACAAAAACCTGGAAAATATTAGTTAATTCTTCAGAGGAAAGCAAAATTGTTAAAATCCTCATAGATTCACCTGGCTTCGTATAAATTTTTTAAAAATTTTACATAATACTTTAAGCACTAAGCTAGCGTATTCTGAAATTTATTTTCATCTGTAAACTTTTACTGAGTTTGTCCATATTTGTAATTTATTGAAGTATACAGCAAAACTCGATTATAACGAAGTCACTGGGACCCATGAAATTACTTCGCTATATCCGTAATTCTTTATAAACGTATAAGAAATTAATTAAATTTATATAGCTGGGGATCCAAGATGACTTCGCTATATCCGTAAATTCGCAATATCCGTGTTCGTACTAACCGAGTTTTGCTGTAAACTATAATTGTTTTTCCTTATTGTTTCAACTATCTGATTGGCTCAAACTGGATCACATGATCAAGTATAAAAAAGTGTTACAGACTGGATGTTTCTATTTTGAAAATTTATAAACCCGCTTTTTCTAAAATTAGAATGTTTTTCTGTGATGCAACAATAGTGTTGACGTCACAATAGTATTTATAGACTGGATGTATCTAAAAATAGATACTGCAGCTGTTTTTATTACTGTGACGTCATAATGCAATGACATAACAATGCCTTGTATGAGAAGGTACTGAGTATTATAGAGAAGGATTTTAAGACATTTCTTATCAACTGATAAAAAATAATGAAACAATTGTAGCCTTTTGTGTCGGTACAATCCCTCGATATATAGACCCTAGAGAAAGCATATCGACCGAGCACGATATACTTTCTTTAAAGTCTATATATCGAGGGATTGACCTCATCAAAAGGCTATAATTGTATAATATTTTCCAAGTATAATTTCTTCTATGCAAGAAAAGAAAACAGTTTGCTTAGTAAATGTAATACATAAATTTCAATTAAAAGAGATTCTGATAATGATAAATGTAACTGAACTCAATTAAATGAATTACATTTTCGTTCAAGTAATTTACATAAACAGATCCTTTTTAGAATTTTTCCAATCCAAATTGAAGAATGAACTTTTTATTGTTCGTATTGAAGATACATTATTGAGTATGACTCAAACATTAGCATATATCCCCTCCGATGAAACGGATCCAACAAGTAACTGGTAACACCTGCGGTACTCTTCCTGTAATACAAAGAAGAGCATGGAGGAAACAAGTTGTTTTTGTGAAACACTAGTGCACAAAGTTCAAAAAGCTATTTTAGGCATATAGGTCACAGTCAAGGTCACAAGATCATTGGTTTAAAATATATTTTATTCATTTAGAAATGGACTGAACAGTAGGCATAAATGCCTATGATCGATCTCTCCTTGAGGTTCGCAGGTAGGTTAAGGTAACAACCAAATATTCTACTTGCCTATATGATATGACGTCATAGTAAGCTATATGACGTGAAGTTTAGAGATAACAATTTCTTATAATCGATATCTTAGATTCATTTGAGGTCGTCAAAATTAATCAAAATATGCAGAGGCATAAAACAAACAGAGTTTTGTCGTTTCTGGGTCTCTGTAGTTATCACAGGGGTTAAATATCAAACCCGTGACGTCATGACTGTAGATCATGCAGTAGCAGAGAGAAAGTGAAACGTAACGAGAATTCATGTAAACAAACACAAGAAATCGGAATTTAAAAGCATTTAGAATTAATATCATGTGTGATTCATGTGGGAATAAAGCTTATGAATAAGGTATTGTGATATACTTCAACAATTTCTTCGTAAAATTAAAGCAGGAAAGGTGTTTACTTGCCGATCAGCCTTTCCTCTGTCTTTCGTTACAAATAAGATGCAAAAGTTCAACACTACGCCGCACACTTTGAAACTTAATTTTTGTTTCTATCTAAAGGTCTTATTCTTTTGTTTTTGGAAAGTGCTGCTAGAATCGTATGGTTTACGGGAATTAATGCATTTTTTCGATGTTATGAACAAAATGTAAAAATTTTGGGAATTTTTTGTCAGAAAGTGTTGAATAATTATTTTTGTGATAGGACAGTAAGATTCTAGCAGCAATTTTCATGGTACAAAGATGTTTTTACATAATTATTATTACAAATTGAAATTAATTATCCCCGGGGTAGTGTTGAACTTTTCACTTTTTCATTAAGGCATATTTTCTAATTATAGTCGTCATGTGGTGACGTCGTGATGAAGTGCTTCATGTAGTATAAGTCCCATTGAAGTCTATAGAATGCATAATTACAACAAACGTATTATGCTTGTCTTTTCCGATTTATTAGTGTTACATAATTATAAAAAAGTCTTAATTCGCCGAATTCTGGTCCATGTGCTGCCTTAACATACCCGCGTTGATGTCATCTGCAAGAACATGGTTAATGGAGTATGCATTCCAAATATGAAGTCGCATACCAAATAAGAAGTTTCTGTCTCTCACGGTTCAAATGTTATTGTGAAGTTAAAATTGACAACAGACAGAAAAACGCATCAACAGATAAACAAACAGACAAACACACAGACAGGACCAAAACAGTATACCGTCCGGATCTTTTTATCCGGGCGCATAAAAAAACTCAGTATGCTCCGCATATTATTTAAAATAACAGATATATTAATGACAAAAATTTGAAAATGAATACAATGTATTTATCATAGAATTAATTATACCATTTGTTTGAAATACAATATGTCAGAAAATATATATTAAAATAGGTCATAATAAGTTATATTAATGCAATGTCTTTTAAAAAGACTGTTGGTGTGTTTTACAATTAGAAGAATGTTGATTGCAAACATATTTAATCAAAACTTACAAGCGTTGTGATGACTTCTGGTCGCCTGGTCTGGATCTGTCGGACTCGTGTAAATATGTCCACCTCTCCGTCCATACGAAGCTGTTCAAGGGCGTTATATAAAACACAGAATATCCCAGCTGGACCAGCACCATTGCTTTAAATTCAAAATAAATTAATAATAACATGTCCATACGTCGATTGGGAAGCATTACATATCATTAAAATAAAAACGATTTAACAACATACACGTAAGAAGATTTAATATCAAAGATCTTTGTAGAGTGCATTTGCAATCAATTCTGATATGATTTTTTAAATATCTTATTTTCAAAGTGTACGAAATAATCGTTTCGATGGACGTCAGTTTCTCATATTAGTATTTGGAAAAGAATTTAAACACATATGTTACAATATATTTTTACCTGCTTATGACGAGCGATGTTGATGCATTTCCTTTTTCTAGCAGCAGTTTTGCTACTTTTAGTAAAGCGGCATCATTTTCAGATGGAATTCGGAAGACTTCAACATACGATTTATAATCCTTGGTTCATGAAACACATTAAATCTTATATAATTTATGGTTAAGAAACCAAATTAAACTTTCAAAAGAATTATTGAAAAATAAAGAAACAAACTTTCTTAAGTTTTAGCAGCATAATCGACTTACATCTGTTGATATAAGAAGACGATCTTGTTGGATACCATCACTGTCAAACCCATTGTTTTTAGTACTTATGGTAAAAGGTTTACACTGTTGCTTTTCTCCTCCATTGGGAAGCCAGTTAGTTCCCTTGTTATAAACGAATTAACATCTGTTTATTGCAGTTTTTACCATTTAGACAATGGAAAACATAGGAATCTTTCGAATACACAGGAATTAAACATTTAAATAAAGCAATATTCGAAAAGTTTACAAAACCAGAGTGTCTGTCAGAACAGTATTTTAAAAAAAGAAGACTGTGATGTATTCCAAATAAAAAGTAATCTACCACATTATCGTCATTTAGAACCACCACTGATTCCACGTCATGGTCCTTACACAGTCTCCATACATCTACCTCAGTATCAGGAAGAGGATTCTGGGTAACAATAAATCCTAGTGGATTCGTAAATGTCTGAAAGTTTCATTAGATATTGTCTGTGATACTTTTTTACGTATACAGCAAAACTCGATTAGTACGAACACGGATGTTGCGAATTTACGGATATAGCGAAGTTATCTTGGATCCCCAGCTATATAAATTTAACAAATTCCATATACGGATATAACGAATTACGGATATAGCGAAGTAATTTCACAGGTCCCAGTGACTTCGTTATAACCGAGTTTTACTGTAGTACTAAAATTGTCCAAAAATGTAAAAATCATCTAATTTGTCTCTGTCATACATTCTTTTTAAATTAGATTTGGTGTAATGCTTTTGATTTTCTTAAAGAAATTTTTAATTCGAAACGACTTAATAGCATTTTAACTCATAAAACAAAATTTGTTAGAAATGGCGTTTACTAATTGAATGAATATAAAGAAAATTTACTCATTAAAAACAAAACCAAAAACAATTATTTAAGAGATAAATTTTCCTTATATATTGAAGTCGAAATGATGATACTTACGGAAACGAAAACTGCATTTATATAGTCATTTCTTCCTCGTACATATGTTGTTATGAAGGGTCTGTATTTTGATGCTGAAATATTCAAGTATTCAAATGAATGAGCATAATAGGTATAATAAGTGCAGGTGATAATGTGACCAAATCCTACCTGGTAAAATATTCATATCAACATTTTTGGTTCGGTTCGAGGGTTTCAAAGCATCTTCTTTGGTCTCAATATCGTAAACAGGTTTCAAAGCCACTAATAACTGAAAAGCATTCAAATGTAAAATACAATGCAAAGCTTAACAAAATGATCAGGCTATGTAAACGAGTGGTCACTTTAAACGATAAGGGTTTAGGTCATACCACCTGGTCATTCATCTAACCTGGAACTCCTTGTTCAGTTGTTGTTGATTAAAAGGCGAGGCATCATTCAAAAGCGTGAGTACTTTTGCTCGAAAGTCATGTTCAGATATCACAGTCTCTATATCTTGGAATCCACAAAGTAAGGCTTTATGTAAAAACACATACTGCTCCTGTAGTGAAATACTGATGGTGTAAATACTATGAACAAAAGAAGGGCATTTTGAGATGGCATTATTGAAACAAATAATTTCATATATATTATAAGTATATTTGTAAACACATGATGAAATCTTACAACTGTCTGAACCATGCTCATACGGTCCTCTCTCATTTGCTTCACAAAATCAAAAACGTTGATCCGCCCCGTTTCTCTCCCTTGTTGTAGTAACACATTAAGACCAATATATGTTCCCGTTCTACCCACTCCGGCACTGAAAGGTCAGAGTTCATGTAGTTGATTGTTTGTTCCTGTGAAATTTTATACAGTACATATATATGTCACAGATGGTGAAATGTCAAGTTTCAACCGAGACTCAAATCCGGGGCCTCTGATATACCGTGACAGTGCTCCTGGTTGAGACTTGACTTTTCACCACCTGTGACACATTATATTTTCAACAGTGAAAAACGTTTTCAAAAGAAAGTTTTTTTTTTATTTTTTTTAAGTAAAGTATGAAAGCATATCAAAATGACATACTTTTACAGCGTGACAGAATATCAGAATTGTGCAGAACTAACTATACTAGAAAGTGTCGTAAAATAACTCTTTGGTCTGTTATTAAAAGGAGAGACGGTACGAAATCATTCCGACAATGACCTAATCTGCTAAAGTGTTGAAATCCATGTTTGTGAAATTTTTCATTTTACATTGTTAATCTATGCCATCCTAAGAGCTGAACATTAATGTCATATAACCTTTGACAATATATTACAAAAGACAGTGGAAAAGGGAAAATCATAGAAAGTTAAATAAACAAACCATTCATGTTTTGTTGAATATGGAAATTTCACAGATTTTTAAAAAAATATTTTCACTCTTGCCTAGCAAGTGTGAATATAAGAAAAACCCTCTCTCGTTCGTGTAAAAAATTCAAACTACAAAAAACTGATAATCTTCTTTGTTATTTTGTTTATGTAGTGCATTTTATGATATATCTAATAGGTTATGTTTAACTTTTAATTTTGTATGTGCGAGATCAAATAACCTAAGCTAGATATTTTGATGTATAAAGAAAAAAAACAGCAGTACTGAAAATGAAATAAAAAGAATTAACAAAAAGTAGGAAAAAATTAAATCAAAATTAAATCTTCATTCATTTAAAGGAGGTCGTAATGACCCAGTTAAAAGAATTCACTCAGTACAATATACATGTATCATTTGCAATGTTTGGGTGAATAATTCGATATAATTTAGAAAGGGCAAAGCATATACTGATTTTTAGGAGGACGGAGATAAATACATTGTCACATTATAGTAAAAAGAAAATAAAAGTAAAAGTCAAATTAAAAATTACATTAAAAAGAAATACAGACAGAAAAACGAATAATGGACACTTTGCTATTGCATAAGCAAGTCTGGTCTCTAACCAGAAGAGCTAATATGACTTTAAATGAGATAATTCATTATATCTTCAGCAGCATTTGTGTTTCTTATTTACTTTTGTTACTTATTTTTTTATCACTTACCTGCAATGAACCAATAATGGAGGTCCAGTTTGCCATACTTTCAAAACAGCTCTGTGGAACTGAACGAGTTCTATCTCTTCTGGGGTTCCGTGGTCTGGCCAAGCTGTGTAGTGGAACTGGGTAATTGTCCTCAGTTCATTTGGCTGTAAGGAATGGTGAGATTTAAAATGCAGTCGTCTAGAAGTTCCAATAAAAGTTATTGCAAAATAAAGCGTCTTATTAAGGAAAATGAATCAATGCTGTATATTAATATTTTTGTCAATATGTAGTTTGTAGTAACCTAAGAATATAACGTACATTTTGCCTCTTTATTGACAGCTTTCGAACTGTGTAGAAAGCATATTCAGATTCTTCCAACAAGGAAACCTTACATTGACCAATTTTCATCGGGTGATCCTTATTTGGCCAATACTGAGTACATTTGTTCTAAATTAATGATGTAAATGCAAATATAAAGTTACAAATAAAAAGCCTGAAACAAGCAAAAAACAAAAAAAAAAAAAAACATGCAAGAAATATACATATATAGGGTTATCTTTTTTTAAATGTTTGGTTGCCAACTCATGACCGGTTGGACAAATATGGCCCGGCTAAAAATCTTCTTTTCACATTGAAGGAAATTAATTTTTTCTAATTCCTTTTATACCGTCAACAAACATATTGATATTTTCTGGAAAAAAAAGGTTTTCCAAACCACCTATCGACCCAATAATTTTACTCTGAGTCAGGAAAGGGCAACTGGGCATACATTATTTAAAAATGGCCCAAAACATAAAAAAACAATGTACAAAAATTTAATTGAAACATGAAGAAAATTATAAATTCTCTTGGTTTTTAATAATAATTTATAAATATTAATAATTAATAATTTGTATACCTTTCCATTCTCGACAATATTTGTGAGTATTAGAACACAATCAATATTCTCTTGTAATACCATTCTCCAAAAGTCTGCTATTGTATTCTTCGAAGGACCTGAAGGCAAAATATAAATTAAATCAGTTCATATTCAACGCAAGTCTTGACAGCTTTTACATGTTATTTTTTCATGAATTTATTTGATGTGGTGCACATAAAGGAAAACATGTATTATGAGAGAAGGAATATAAAAAAGTTGTTTTTTTAAGTATAATACCAAGAAGAAATGTTTTAAAAATGCATGAACTTAAGTGAGTTAAATCTTCTGTTATACAGGAAAAACTTGAAAATGATTTACTGAAAGAGACCACGTGAACAATTATACTATGGCGTCATATAATGACAAACATTTAAGAACAAAAATACCCCATTATTCTGAACAGAGACAGTGTTTTTTTTAAGCAGAATATTCCAAGGATAGAAGATATATAACTGCAAAAAAAAAAAATTTGCTACCTTTTTGCAAAGTTTTGAAGTGAATTGAAACTAGGCCAAATCCCAGTCAAATTATCCAATGAGAAAAAATTGATTTGGAATTGTGCAGCACTTCTATTCATGTGCAAAATGATCTTCTCAGAATAATACACAAAATATATGAAATTAAATACTACGATATTGCAATTTTGCCAAAGATTTTTGTTGATATGTTTTATTACTGCGAGTAGTAAAAAAAATATTACCTCATGTCATAATAGAAAATGACAATAACATGACTTAGGAATGAACTAGGAATGTAAAAGAAAATGAATCCATTGTTTATTTTTATCACTTCATGTACATAGAAATGTATAGCCAGCCTTAACTCACCTGAAAATACAAAAAGCTTAAATATATTCAATTTATGTTAACTTTGAAATTATACCTCATTAGATGTAACGATATAAATCAAATTTAAATAGCAGGAGAGAGTACTGGCATTATTTCCTTAATTCTAATGTGTTTGGGCGAGACGAGAGAGGTGTTTGCTAGTGATTTATGAAAGATTTTTTTTGCAAAACGCAAAAAAGAAAAGACTTATACCTTGTGTTGCAATGAAGCGACTTTCACCATTCAAATCCTAGAAAAATAATAATCAAAGACAATCCAAAGAATATTTTAAGTTCAGAAATATTTTCTTCAAATATTGTTTTTTTTTTACCCTGACATAGTAATAACAAATTTTGTAAATAAAACACCTTTACCCTGACATAGTTTGCATTTATGTAATCATTGTCGTCTTTGTTCCATTTCTCTTTGAGGATAACTCTAGAGTGTTCATCTAAAAAAAAGTGTGTTGTAGAAATGTCCCTATAAGATTTTCATAAAAATATTTCATTTTTTTAATAAGAAACTCATAATCTCCTTTTAATTAAAAAGCATCCATAAATCTTAAGAGTTTGTTGTTCATTTTTTTTAATTTGACTATGACAAATGCAATGAATATGACTTGTGCATGAAAAATAATTCTTACAAGGAAATGTTGTTTTGAATCGGTTCTTGACGAGATTTTCTTTCTCCCGAGCCGTGTGGCATTTATTTACGTCCCCATGAGGAAGTCTCTTGATTTGATTTTGAAAATAGAACAAATTGTTTCAAAATAAAGTATTTGTGACAAACTCGAAAAAAGCAAACGAAACATAATGAAAGAATGTTAAGTTAGGAAGACTGGGTAACTTGTAGACTTCTTTAATACATGAAATTTTTTTTGTTAATATATGTATTCTACAAAGTTTGTAGAAGATTGTTGAAAATAAAGCAGAACATTCATTTTAGTAGATAGCCATATTTTCTAACCTTCTTATACACACGGATAATAAAACTTAATAAACATCAAAATATGATGTATTAACATGTATATTAGGGTAGGCAAAAAAATTGGAAATACTCATATTTCCCAGGAAACTGAGAAATACTCGTAATTCCTTGGAATTATGGTATTTTCCGGGAAATATTGGGAAATATATAAAAGCTTCATATTTATTAATTAGATATATAATGAAAATTTACATTATATTCCAAAAGAAAAGGGGACTTTTCACCAACGATTTTTGTTGCTATACTTTTCTGTAGGTCTTCAATTTTGATATCACTGCTTGTTTGATTTGTATTGTAATACACACAATCACCAGCAATGTCAATGCTTGATTCTTGAGTTGATATTTGATTTAAATCACCTGTAAAACATGAAAACAAAAAGTCAAATTTCAATATCATAGTGTTACCTAGACCCCCTTCCCCGGTGATGCATAAAATAACAAATAAATACTTGTTTATTCTTTAATTGAAATGTTATTGTTAAGAAGTAATATGCGTATTCCGTAAAGATTTTCTGTAGTGCAGTAATACTTACTATTTATATCTGAAGGGTTTTCTTCAATTTTATTGCTTTCCTCTTCAAAAGTCTTTGCAAGGATTCTTCTTTCGTTGATGTCTTTATGCAAAACCCGTCGTCTTAAAAAGGAATACATTTTATGCTTTAATTCCTATGTTTCCATAAGAATTCAATTATGCTAATAAGGAAATGCATTTTAAAGTATAAAAAGGTATTTAAACTCAGAAAACAATTAAATGCTTCAAATCAGGAGAAGAACAAACATGGGCCTCGAACACGTCAGAGGTGGGATCAGGTGTCATGGAGGAGTGAGCATCCCACGCTAATCGGTACATGTAACACCCGTCAGGTGCTCCTTGTCATGATTGGGAAAAAAATCCGTAAACAACTCAGTGTTGGAATAAATGTTTAACGATAATTATAAAACCACAAAATGATATGAAAACTAAGCTCGGGTTATGAAGTATAAAACCACAAAATGATATGAAAACGATGCTCGGGATTCTGATTGACATAGTCTATTTAGAAAAAAAATGTTGGCATTAAATATGAATTATTATGGCTATAGAATTGATTGAATATCGCAAAATTTATCTACTTTTAGTAATTTCTTTTATGATTTCATGCATAGCATTGTAAAAAGACTTCTAGTCATTTCTATGATGTGATCAAATCAACCTACCTTGCAGCAATAACTAAGGAGATCACAACAAATACCGCAATAATGATCGACGTAATGACCCCTCCAATAATTCCGGCTGTGCTCCCTCCAAGTGGTAAATTGTTTTCTAAAAATACTTTTACTATTATATGTAACAAATTACAATTACAAACTCAAAATTTTTTTTGGATTGGAAAACTTGATTATCTTTTTATGACCACTTTGAGTTAAAAACTTCTGTGTGAAATGTTTGTATATTGATACTAGCTATAGAGAAAAAAAAAGAGATATGCACCATCACATTTCAAACCTTTCATATTATCTCTGTATCCAAGCAGACAATATCCTGTTTTTGTGCATTTTGTTTGGATGCAATTTTCACACGTTCTTATGCAACTAGATCCATAGTATCCATCGACGCACTCTGTAATATACACAATTACTAAAAATTATAGCAAAAAATATAAATTTATGAATAAAGTGTTGTAGTTATTTGATTACCACAATTGATATAAAATTTGATAAATAGTAGCATACACATTTGACTTGTCAAAGATTCGGAAAAAAGGTTTGTTTGAATTTTGAAATTACCGTCACACTTAGTTCCATTCCAATGATGTTCACAACCGTCCGGACAAATTCCTGTTATGTTGTTACAAAGGGTTCCATTCACACAGCTCCCACAACTTGAACAATTCTCACCATAGAAGCCATCTTTGCATACTGAAGGAATAATGTGATTCAATTTGTTCACACTTCCATAAGTAAAGAGACTTAGAACATTTAAATGTAGTTTCATGCAGATTCATAACACCGTCCAATGAAGTTTATTCGGTAGATTGCCGTAAACGGAAGATCGTGAGTTTGAATCTCGAACGCGACTGACCTAAGTCGAAAGAGAATATGTGTAGCAGCTGTTCCATTGACATGCACCTGGTACTTTGAAGTGAAAGTTGTGGCTTCTTTGGATGAGTATGTATTCGCAGGGGGAATAAGGAAGCATACAGAATATTCTATCTTGACTAAAATCAGTGCTACATTATAACGTCAGAGATGGCGAGATGACGTCAAATCTAGAACACAAGTTTTCGTAAATTTGGTATTTAAAAATGTAATTGAACTTTAGAAAATGAAAAGAGTAGTGTAAAAATTAACAAAAAAATAATGTTCTTAATTTTCTGTGCCGTATTCTGTCATTTTGATTAAATCTACCACCGATGACGTCATATGTGTCAAGTGTGTCATACATCAAGTGACTTTGGAATTGATCATGTCCATTAAAGAGAATTTGGCTGAGACAACATGTACAAATATACGTAAAATGGAGTTTAAAAGCAAATATAGTGAATATTTCGTGAAATTCATATGGAGTTTAGTTCATAAAAAAGGAGGCTATTTTTTTCATCGATTATATTCTCTTTTGAAGCTAGTTAACTATATACATACTCCGGTCGGCCTTTCCTCTATCATTTGTTACAAAAATAATGCGACAGAACAACAATAAGCTGTACATTTCAAAACATAAGATTTATACAGTTAAAGTTTTCCTCCTAAAATACTTGAAAAGTGCTGCTAAAATCCCAAATTAAGCATAGTTTTACCACAAATCTCGGTTCATATGTGAAAAATTCAAAACATCGGGTAAGGTTTGGTGCGAATGTTTGGAATAATCATTTTACTGACGGGACAGTGGGATTCTACCAACACTTTTAATGCAAAATAGATGTTTTTCAACTACATTATTTATTCAAAGAAATTATTGAACTCCGGGGTATTGTTGTTCTGTTATTTTTTTTTTTATTAAGGAAAATTTCGATATTAATATAAGTCACGTGATGCCGTGGTGGTGGTGAACGATGTTCCTTTAGACACTCTTTTATCTTTATGCAATAAATAATAATAGTTTACGTTTATCTTTATGCAATAAATAATAATAGTTTACGTTTAACTGCGGTTTTGTTAAATTATCAAACAATATTCTTTAAAAAGTCTAAATTTCCCGAAAAATGACTTATATGCTTCCTTAACATACCCGCGTTACATACAAATTTTACACTTCTATAAAATGGTTATTATAAAATTTAAAATTTTACTTTAGTAAAAGAGAAATGTTTTCGATTTTCTTGTGAATAATTTACCATTGCATAGAGAACCATTCCAATGATCATCACATCCTTCCATACAAAGGCCTGTTACATTGTGACAATATGTTCCAGGTTTACAATGACCGCATGTTTTTGTACAGTTGCCACCATAAAAACTACTTTGACAGACTACGCAAAGTAAAGAATAAACATATTACACATATAATTGTGGGTTTAGGGTTTGAGAGAGAGAGAGAGAGAGTAATACGCTTTTAAGCAACTGAAGGCCTTATATGTAAACAAAATCCTATGACTGACAAAAGAAAAGAAATAACTACTTCTTACCATTACACAATGAACCATTCCATTGATAATGACATCCATCTGGACAGATACCTGTTATTTTGTTGCATACGGCATTATTATTACATTTTCCACATGTCCCTTCACAATTATTTCCGTAGAACCCGTCTCTACAAACTACAAAAAGAACAACAGAGAAATCATTTTCTAATCGAATTCAATGTAAATTACTGTAAATCACATATTTTCGTGGGGTCAAATTTTCGTGGTCAAAGGAAAAAATGTTGGATTGTGGGGATTTGAATTTGTGGATGAAAAACTTTTTAGTAGTATTACATGAGTGCAAGTGAAATGATTTTCATACCTCGAAAACAACGAAATTTAAGCCCCCCACGAAAATTAGTTATTTCACAGTATTTAACAATCTCTCTTATCCACATGTAGATACATTGTCAGCTTGCTCACATGCAAAATATTATTTTTTTTTACATGTATCAAATCTAGAAATAAATCGAGATCGAACAAGCATTTTGACGATGACTCTTTTTTCAAAATAGAAATTCATTTGCCAGTTGGGTGCCGGTAGATAGGTTTTGCTAAAACGCGGAACGGAAAACGGAACGGAAAGCAGAACGGAACGGAGAACGGAATATATTATGTTAGATCAAATCACTTAAAATACACAATTTTGTCGTAAAGAATATATTTTAAACACATTCAATCTCTCGGTTAACATTCTGTAAAATTTTATTTAAAAAGGCTACTCTTACAGTTGTAGTTTTATTGCAATCTCGCCACAAAAAGAGACTTAATCAGCAATCATTTTTCTATTTATTTCTTTTGTAAAGTTTATGTCCCAACCGCTGCTTTTCTTTTCCTTTATTATACGTACAAACCAGTAGAGCTACAGTCTCGACAGAGACTTCTGGTTGACAAGCAAGTTGATGAAACAAGAATATCAGCAGTCTCGGTAAAAGTCATCATTTCAAAAGTTCATTGGTGACACAATGACCTTATTAGCAAATACAATTTTTCATTGAGTCAAATGCTGATTTACGCTTTTCACATTAATTGTTAGTTCATTATTTATACACTGAATTGACGACGGATTTCTCCTTTCGTTATTTCCTGATCATGCCAAGGAGCACACGGCGGGAATGACCGGTCGGCAGGGGATGCTCACTCTTCCATGACACCTGATACCACTTCTAATGTTTTGGATGTCCGTGTTTGCTCTGCTCCTATTTTGAACTGTTTTAGGGATTTTTGATATTGAATACCGTTCTTTATCTCCATATCATTCATTCACGAAAATTGCTGACGTAGCAATGACACTAGAATTGAATTTGAAGGGGGGAGGTTAAAACTTATATGAAAAGAATTTCACCAGCGGAAAAACACAGATATATGATTTGGGACGGGGAATCAGTTCCTACTCCAATGTCCTTCAATACTTTTTTGTACACTAACTTACTATAATTAACAAAGTGTGGAGGTTGCTGTAAACATTTCTATAATAAAAGGTTATATCTGGAAAGGGGGGGGGGCAAATATTTGATATCTAAACAAACCATGTTTAAAGCGAATGAAAATGTAAAAATAAATTCCTAGGATTACGATTAGAGCAAACCTTTCCGGCAAGCTCGGATAAACACCTCTATTTTGCAAAGTTCAAGCTTCCTATATATTAAAATTTTGGATAAATATAGTTGGAAAACTTTTCTGTGTTACAAATGTAGCATCTTTACATTAATGAAGTGAAATTTGTATGTGGTACATGTGTGCGTGTGTAAGAGGGGGGGGGGGGGGGTCATAGGGTGAATATGAATGGTAAAACATTTTAATTCATTTCGCTCTTTAGAAAGGTCAGAAAAGTTGCAAAAGGTCCGCCCTTCCCCTTTTGACATTAGCTCCAGACCTTTTTACTATTTAAATGTTCACTGAAACCCAACAGATTTTGTTAATACAATTCATGTGGTTAGATTAATATTGTTTAAAAAAAAACCAGAAAGATTTTGGACCTAGAACATACCCCCTCCTCCGAACAAAAATCTTACCCCCCTCCCCGAACAAAAATCGTCTTTTGTCTTTTTCGCTTGCCAAACTCTTTTCAAGTACATTTAAATCCCCCCCCACACACACACACACTTTCAAATTCGATTCTACGTCATTGCTATTAATAATAGGGATTTTAATATGAATAAAATATATCCTTTATGAAAAAAATTATGCATTTTATGTGATTTAATATAAAATAAAACATTCCGTTTTCCGTTCCGTTCCGTTTTCCGTTCCGCGTTTTAGCAACACCCCCTATAAATGGCAGACAGTTGTCACTCAGGAAATTAATAGAGCCACAAACGCACTTAAAATAGTATCTCAACGCTCAACTAGGACCTTAAGTCATTAGAAATGTAGAATGGCTTTTATGGCTCAGTGGTTACTTCACTACAAAATTTTGCGCATTGCCACCCTGAACTGACAGTCGAATAAATCAGACTTATTTGGAGCCTTCACCGTGTAAAACAAGAAAAAGAAAATACATTAGTGTCAAAGGAAAAATCATGTAATATTGGGCCAGATACATGGATGGACAATATTGACAGAATGCTATAGAAAATATATACATGCGTAAGGTAATACGGCAATGAACTGTGTTGGGTCACCTATGGTCCACCTAATTATATCATTATTCCATGTTAGGCAGCAATATTTATTTAACAAAGTACTTTACCTCTAATCTTCTTATCATTTCAAAGTACGTGACCTTTATTTTCAAAACTGACAGACAGAGGTCCCCTTATTTTGCACATCAAAAGGGAGAGCAGATGACACGTTATGGTCTCAAGAAGTCAACTATTGTACATCAATAGGAAGACATAACGATATCCTACAGTGCTCATTAAATCAAACAAGATGTGTTTGTGAAACACTATGCGCCCGGCCGCAACAAAGTTAGAAAAAGCAATTTTTAGCAAATGGGTCTCGGTCAAGGTCACACAATCATTGTCCTTTTTGTCAGGTGAAAGTGCTCAATTAGTGGAGTATGCATACCAGATATGAAGTCACTATCTCCCACGGTTCAAACGTTGTGGCGAAAGTTTGAAAGTTTGAAAGTTTGAAAAAGCTATTTTTAGTATAAAGGTCACAGCCAAGGTCACAAGGTCATTGACATTGGTGTCCTTTAAAAGTGCTTAATTAGTGGAGTATGCATACCAAATATGAAGTCTCTATCTCCCGCGGTTCAAAAATTATGGCGAAGGCTAAAGTTGACAACAGACAGAGAGAGGGAGAGAGAGAGAGAGAGAGAGAGAGAGAGAGAGAGAGAGAGAGAGAGAGAGAGAGAGAGAGAGAGAGAAGGGATAGTGAGATAGAAAGATAAAAGGTTATATAAACAGTTTTTCCAGGGTGACCAGGATTCCTGAAAATCATCTGATTATTGTTTTTATATGCAATATACTCGTAATTGTTTGTTTCATACCTCTATCTCATGGAGAATATCAGTCCATTTAATGAGAGGTTTTTACCACTACATCTCATTCGAAAGATAAAATATTTAATCTGAAGAGCAATGGGATATTTAATTTTGTCTAATTTTGCTTATGAACCCTTCTAAATTCTTTCTTTGATTATACAACTTTAATATGAATCTTTCTAAAACAATAACTATCAAAACTGTTCAATAAATCTTGTATTACTTTACATTCCGAAAAGATGTGCGCAATAGTTTCTGTCTCAGTTTCACAAAAAAAAAACATCCATATGAACTTTTTTCTTTTATTTTATTTAAAAAGAAATTGTTGCTAATATTCTATGATTAATTCGGAACTGAAAGATTGACACTTTTTTATCTTTTGTGAGCTTAAATAGAAAACCTTTATTTTTAATACGATATAAAAGGAATGATAAACTTTTTGTTTATATAAGAAAGAATGGAGTGGACATTTTCAGAAGCTCATTTTTTTCTCTTTATTTTAAACGCCATCTTATAATTATACAGGGGCTAGTATCGTAGAAGACAATACAAATGAATGTACTAAACAGAATTAGGAAGAACGTGTCGTTTTCCTTTAGTTCAATTTCTAGTACAATAGCATATTCATTGGTGCTCAAACTGCTGATAATATTAGTGTACAGACACTTAGAGGGGTAATACGGAAATATATGGGGTCTTTGAAAAACTCCATAGTGGGCGAGGCATAAGCCGAGTCCAATATGTATTTTTTTCAAGAACCACACATATTGCCGTATTACCCTTCTAAGTGTCTACATAACGAATTTATCCTGCCGATGGTTCTCTAAAGGACTAAATATTTATAGATAGTTTTCAATGGACCAAAATTAGCAAAAGTTACCTCCCGTTGGTCTTCATGTTGGAGATCGACACGGTGAGTAAAGCAGAAATATTTGGTAAAAAATCTTTATTAAATAATTTTTTCTTAATAAAGGAGGCTTCCAAAAATTTATATACTTCAGAAAAATAATGATTCCTAATTCAAAATCGCAAATATCAATATTTAAAATTGGTTGAACAATGAAGGAATATGAGCATTTGGACCTCCAGTATGGCGGCCAATGGGAGATAACTTTTGCTAAAATTAGGTCTTATGAAAACTATCTATAGTATCGATATACCTCTTTCACTGAGGGAAGCAAATCGTACCGCATCCATTGCTGTCGCCAGACGCATTGTGACGTCAATTATGAAGCTCCCTGTGTGGTCACGTGAAAGCAGTATATTGATGATGTGAGGTTGGTAAATTAGGGAATAACATTCTACTAATTTGGTATTTGCTGATTATACGATCGCAAACTGAGTTTTACCGGCGACGCGTAAAACGGGAACCTTAAATCAGCATTAACGGTCGCAAATACCACATTAGAAGAGTGTTATTTCAATATCAATTCAATCTGTGCATTTTGTTTTTTGTTTACGGCTGATTTTGTTGAGTTTTGTTACATGAAATACGTCACGGGGCATTGTGCTTTTGAGTCGCTCTATTATGGCGTCACAATAAAAAGATTCTTCTCTTGTAAATGCTCGTTTAACTAGTACTCCTTCAAATATCAATATCGCCGAAATATGGCTGAAATACTGCCATCTCAGCGTTAAACAATAATAATCAATCAATCTATAAAATATCAATGCATTAGCCAAATAAAACGTGTTTTTCAAAGCAACTGCATTAGAATTTTTAATATATGGTTGGTAGCTCACGTGGAGGGGGCACATTAGCAATTTTATGTGGGTAGACAGCATAACATCGTTTAATACAGTATTGCTCTCAACCAATAACATTTTTAGATTTATATCAGAGGCACGTTAATAAGGCGTGTATCGTTTGATAATGGTAGGCAGAGAATATTTGGGGGGTGAGGGACGTTATGTTCAAAACATTACCTTCTCTGCTTATCTATTACAAAGATCTATAAAAATGATAAAGTTAATTATACAAATTTATTGGAGTAATACAGATAATTTTATTAAGGGGGGGGGGGAGCTATGTCCGAAAAGTCTTTGTGTGAAATTTTCAAAACTTTGACATTTCTTTCCTGACCAATTGCTCTACATTTTTAGGTTTTAAAAACAATTCCTTTATATGCTTATTTTTACACAGGAGCACGTGCAAAAACAGTGTGAAATGCTAAAAATGGATTATTTTCAGACATTATTGTTCTACCACAAATATGCGCTAAAATGAACCAAAAATGTCAAATCACATTCAAAATCGACAGGTATTTAATTTATGTGACTTGTGTCTTTAAAATAAAGGCAAATTCATTGTAATTCATCTCGCATGAAAAATTATAATAGAGCACAATGTAAGTATCACCCCGTTTTTCTTGCCGTATTTTTTTACAATTCTGACATGCATAACAGGTAATATCTTAAGAAGTCTTTGTGTAAAAATGTTGTATTTTATATTTTGTGAAAGAAATTATTCATCTCTTTATTTTAACAAAGAAAAAAAATATACCTTTATGATAAAATAAACGAGAAATATGCGGTTTCCTTTAATTAAGTACTTTTATGTCATAAATATTGACCTTTCTGCACTAAGAAAGGTACGACGTCGCGCATATAGTACTGGGGTTGAAATACCGTAACATGTAACACTGTAAACGACGGGCGTTGGTATTTTTGGTCATTTTATCTTTTTGGCTACATGGATTTTTCTGGAAATTTGTACCAAGCTTCTATACATTTCAGTGATGGTGTTACACAAAATTCATTAATATCTATCAAATATACTGACCGATTCCGACTGTTCATAATATTGGAAGCATTCCGTAATATGCCGTAATATTGACGAGTAAGAAAAATAGATGGAATGTTTGGTAAACATGTTTTACTACATAACAGGTTATTTTTGAAAAACTAAGTTGATAAATGAAATGTGCAATTCATGTATAAAGTCAAAGATTTCCATGAAAAATCATTAGCAAGTAGTTAGAGATATAAATAGAGCGATTTTGATGTCTAGTCGATTTTGTTACTACGATACAAATATACGTTTTATGGTATTTAACCGGGCGTATAGCACCAATACAAACTGTAATCTCTATTTATTGGGAAAACTTGTAACAGATAGAATCTTATTTTTAAAATGTGCAAATTAATAAGATTTTGTATTTAAAGAAACATTAAATATAATACATTTTTAAGAAAACAGAAGCAAAAATTTGTTGTCTAGTCTAATTTGTTACGCCTTATATTTTTTGACGTTTTAACGCTTTAACGACGTACACAATAAAGTATATTTCGACGTTACAAAATCAGCCCCAATTCTGTGCGCGACGTCTAAGTAAGCACTGACGAACATCTAAATATAAAACTATTTTGCAAAAAACTAGTATTTTGTTTTGATTAGACACAATATTTACAATATTTAAACAGATTGATTCATTTCTTCTTCATTCTAGTCATTCTGTACCCCCCCCCCCCCCCCTCATATCCCCGTCAACAACCAACACCTATTAGAACCTAGGAATGACTTTATACAATATAAACTACACGCACTATAAATCAATAACCAAATATAGGTACAAGCACATTTCTTATTTTTTTTCTTAGTTTTATCCAGAAAATACAATTAATGGTAAACATGAAAATTAAACATATTTCCCTTATTAAATGAATTTTATCTTATCTTTTTGCACTTATATATCAGCATATCATCGAGGTATTTCTTCACAACTGCTATGAATTATCAACCAAAGGAAAAGACTTCTAATATACACAAAGTCTAAAAATAAAAAAATGATTAAATTTTCTTTTTGCAAATTGTGTACGCTATTGATTACTAACAATGTTAGGCCTATATCACAGTTGCAAAGTCTACAGGTAAAAACAAACGTCGCTTTTGTGACGTCACGTAAGGCTGCTTTGACATAGAACGACATAGGTCCCCCTTAAATGTAATACAGAAATGTATAGTGTTACAACAAAGTAATGCTGAGGCCCTTTAATGTGTGATGAGACTTACACATACAATCAGGTGGTTCAAACAACTTGTCGCTACATCCGTATATACAGGACCCATCAAAGGCATCACACTCCTGATTCAAACATTTTGATGGACATGGCCTGCAGTTTTGTCCATAATTTTGAAAGTGACACCCTTTAATGAGAAACAAAAGAAAAACATGTTTTGTAGGAGATAAAAATGTTTGAAATTTTTAAAATAAGGTTTACTTTCGTAGCAGGATGATAAACTGTGTAATGTGTATGATAGCATAATTCTAATTATTAGGCGGAAGCTGCCTTTTACTTTTGCATGCTTTGTTGACCTTTCGACCTCTCAAGATGTTTGCCCCGCTTCATGGTACTCCAAACGGATGTATCTTAAACAAAGGGCATACAACCCGCTTAATCATATTTGACCCCTTCCCAATCTTTATCGTTATTATCAAATCAAAAAGCGTGTGTTATGGCGAATTTATTTTAACAATTTATTTTGATTAATGTAAAAAAGTCCAATAAAAATAATAGCCTAATTATAGAACGAATAGTTACTTTGTTACTGCTGATACGTTTCACGTTTGAGAGAAGAACGAACGACAACTCTGTATGTCTAAAACATAAACAAATCGGGTTCAACATTTGATTAGCACGGGGTACTGAAGCGACCTTTAGAAATACTACGAGGGACAAAATAGTTCAAGTAGGTAATTATGTTTACGAACTAATGACAGGTACATAGCTACTGAGGAACTTATCTTTTCAATAATCTTGTATGAAATAGAAGAAAAGAGGTATGTAACTCCTTTTATCAATTGTGTACTACATTCGCGTAATAATCTAACATATAGACGATTCAGCGTGAAATTATTGTCAACAAACCCACGTGGAGCACAAATGATTTACAATGATTGACTGGAAGTGACAGGCCTTCTCTTCAAAATAAATAAGGTAACTCACGCTGTGTGATTAGCCTATGTTTTATTGTCACCCTTATCTTTGATTGTTTTTACCTGAAAATGTCGGCTCCCTATGCAGGCATGCTTTAGACATGTTAGATATCGTAATATGATAGCTGTTATGATCGGGTCTTATAGAACGAACTGGTACTCTAATTACCATGATAACATGCCTGGGAGAAATTATTTGAGGACTTATCATGCCGAGTTTGTGTATACATTTATATATCCTTTCTCATTTAATGTTTGTACATGTATGTTGAAGGATGGGCCAAAACTGTAAAATCTGGACAGAAATTAAAACGCAAGCATAAGAACTACATTGTGTTTTGTATAGATGTGTCCCTGCTACGGAAGCAGCTAACAGAAAGGGGATATAATTAAGATTGCATTGTGGATTTGCCCTGTGCCACCTCTAAATGGCAGAAGAAAACTCAACTCAGCACAACAAGAAACACTTTTCTGAAGGTGAGTACATCAATTTATTATATTTCTAGATAAGTGGAAAAAATTATCAAAACTTATGATACATATCTTTTATAGCATAACAAATCATCTTGTTATGATGGCAAAACTGAACAGAATACTATTTTTGAAAGTATATTTTGACTTTTCTAATTTTTGTTGACTTATTTTCTTTTTCTTTTTAAATACATGCAAATACATGATTACTTATAATAGTAGGCTTTTGAAAGAGAAAACAAATACAAAAAAATATTAGAGAAGTCAAATCAGTCAATATTTATCATGTTTAATAATCGCTTACTCGATATCTGACTTTTTCATTACATGTACAGATAATTATGAATTCCATTGGAAATAATTTTTGGTACTAAAATTAGTTATCAAATAAAATACAAATGCACAATACACCCAAAATTACAAAAGGTTGTTTTAATTGGATCTATTTGCAAAACTGCTGTGTACACATGTAGGTTATATAACTAGCGAAAGAGAGGAGACAGATGTTGTTGGTCAGGATCGCTAGTCTTATATTATTTCATTTGTTGGTTGTTTCTCGTATATTTACACTAAACTAAATACTACACAAGTTCACTTTCCGCAGTTTTGAATCTTTTGTTATTTCTATATACCCACTTCACTCTTGAAGTTGGTATAGTGGCATTAATTTCTTTGCATGTTAGATTTCACTGAATGAATGAATGTAGATCAAGGCGATAACGGGTGTTTTACAGTTAGGTGTAGATGAAGACATGCTAATTACCATTTGCATGTTTTAGTTAGAATTGATAAGTTTCTGATAAAATGTGTACCTTGTAAAAAGAAATAATATACATCCGAGTAAACGAGTAACTTTTTTTAGTATTCGATACTTGGACCTTGGATCGCGTACCCGGTAAAGTTGACTTCCCTAGAAAATATATTAAAATAACCGGCATATCATAAAAGGTTATTTGAAGTCCTTGATTTCATTTATTGAAAGTTAGATACATAATGTGAAATAATTTTTGTTAAATAAACATTGTGAGATATTCTTAATTTTTTTTTTTCAATTATACACTTTGTAGAAAATTCTGCCAAGAGGCAGTTGTGAAGGGAATCGTGTAGATAATCTCCAGAAAAGAAATCACCACTGATATTGGGATCTATGTACCAATATTTTAATACTATCATCAAAGACAAATTTACCACAGAAATAAAAATAAAACTGTCTGGCATTCAAGGGCCTGCCATGGTAGAAGCTCTCCTGAAAAAATATTCCATTTATTGTGGACATCATGACTGTTGACACAGGGTTCACCCGTCATCAGCATTAAAGACTTGTGTGATTTGTTCTACCTGGGCCATACATGTATTGAATGAAAACAATTCATAGAACCACAAGCACATAGTAAATCTATGTAAGGTCTTCTGTGTATGTTGTATTCCTTATATAATTTGCTGTTTTATAACAAGACTTTGTTTCATTGGTACTAAAACTTAATACATGTAACATACAAAATCCAAAAGCAGTTGTGATATTTATTGTTTTTTATTACTCATTAGTTCTCATTTTTGTGTGAAATTTTATAATTTTCCATTTCTTGTTCCCCAAAACCATATCGTTCAAATTTTATGTATTGCAACTTGCATTTCAATTTTAACTTGTTATACTTGACAAAAAACAAGAGGTACTGTGAGCAATGAACTGACTAAATGATACCCCCGCCTCCCATATGATTATAATGGAAATGTCCATGTTTTGCTGTGGCCGGCAAACCCAAAATATTGTGTCCGATCAAAAGAAAAATAGGAGGTGCACAATGGCAATAGGTAACAAATAATCTGTGAAATTTTCATTAAATTTCATTCAGGGGTATAAGAGGAATTGCGGATAAGATATGAGTACCCCAAAGCGTAACAAACGGATGAACGGACAGCTAGACGTACGTACGGACGGACATACCGATTACAGTATACCCTCCCACTTTTCAAGCGGGGGTATTATAAATGTTAAAATGTTCATATTGCTATTGACGTGACTTATTCTCATGTATCCGCATCAAAACCGAGACATATTGTTTATTCTTGTACCTAGGTTTGAATACTACAATCCATCAAAATATTTATCACCCCCCCCCCCCTTTAAAAAAGATTATGCTTCAAATATGTATCATTAAAGTTTTGCACATGAGAACCTGCAAACATGCTTCCGCCTATCAGTACTCTCAGTACTTTGATTTTGATATTATACATACCCATAACCTTTATTTCACAAATTTCGATGGTAGCAAATCCAGGTACATATCCTTTACATGTTGTATTGAGTGGGGGATCCTTTGAATTAAATACAGCTATTCCTTTAGTCACTCTATTGACGGTCACATTCATTTCTTGTTTTATGCAGTGAGATGGATCCTGGGTGAACACCTTATATCCATCGTCAGACTCGCTAGATGAAGGTGCATAGGATGTGTCATTAAACACAATCACATTGAATCCAATATGTCGATTTTCAGCTAAGTAAACAAATTTAGCAATTCAATATATAATCATTATATAAATTTCAATTGGTCTTTATATACATAAAAAACTTTTCTTTTTATCTGAATACAGGCTTATTTGTTAGTAAAACTTCATACATGTACATTTATCTAAAATTTTGTGCAGAAGGAATAAATATAAAATTTTGGTTATATTCTTAATATATAAACAGATATATTTCTGGTCTATCAAGAAAAACCTTTAGCCAACTGTAAATAAAAAGAGCTGCTTATTTGTCTGTTTTAAGTCATAATTATTAAGTACGAAATGTCTGGCTCGGATACCAACTCCTCTGCCGAAATGAATTTGTATTTTAGTTATAGTTATATAAATAAATTCAATTATTACAGAAATAGAGACATTTTAAACAAATGAGTTTGCTTTAGAAACTTAAAATTTTCATCGTTATTAGCAACAATTGGAATATAGCAACTAAAATGTTCCATCGTTATTAGCAACATTTGGAATACAAAACACTGGGATATACAACGTTTTACTGTATGATCCTTTATGATCCTGCACTCACACATTGTGTTCATATCTATGACGTAACGTCTGTTTCGGATGCAAGTTCTCACACTCACACTAAAAAGCCAGCTCTACTTAAAGTCTGTGCTTCTTGGAAATACACTGTACAGGTAGAGCAATTGCATGTTATTTATAATGTCATGTTAACATAATAGCGTTGTTTATTACCTACAAGATTATGATTGATTGGTTGATTGTATATTGTTTAACGTCCTTCTCGAGAATTTTTCACTCATATGGAGACGTCACTGTATGCCGGTGAAGGGCTTCAAATTTTGAACTTTACTCGGCACTCAGGGCTATTATGCAGTTAAAGATTTTTTTAGCGAGTTTATGGGACGGATCGTCAGATCAAACGAGACGCAAAGAGCCGAGTTTGATCTAATGACCCGCGCATGTCAACGAGACGTGATGAGCCGTTTCACGTTTCGTTGACATGCACGGGTCATCAGATCAAACTCGGCTCTTTGCGTCTCGTTTTATCTGACGATCCGTCCCATAAACTCGACGTGATACAACCCTTCGGATCAAAATACTGTTATATTACTATATATTTATTACAATAGTAACTTGATCCGAAGTGTCGTATCACGTCGAGTTGAGAGACGCTGATTATTAGATCTAACGAGACGCATAGTAAAAAACTACTGAACCGATTTCAAAGATTTTTTAAGGAATGATGCATTGTTGTAATATCTCCAAACTTTTTTTTCATTTTTTGAAAATATCTTCCGGTCATTTTTTCCCCCGATTTTCTTGTTTTTAAATTGTCATTTTGTCCATGCATCTTCTTGTAAACAATTAAAGATTGAATCATGATATTACGCCTTTTGATTTTGCATCCGTCACTTCCGGTCGACACAGGAAGTTATGTCTGATTTCAAGATTTTTGAAAATTTTAACCGTTTTGAATAAAGGCGAACAGAACTTATGTTTACACTCATAATCATCGACAAAAAGCATCCATTTGAAGTACTTCCTGTTTAAAGCGGAAATTGGCAAAAATTTAACCTTTATTTCTTGAATCAAAAGAAATAAAAAAAAATGGATTAATTTGAGTCTTTTAAAATTTTTTTTTCTGGCCTTGTAGCTTGGATGTCAGCTTAATTGAAGCCTAAATTTTCGAAAATCGTCAAATTATGTCACTTCCGGCCAAACAAGTAGCAGTCAGAAAATGCACATTTCTGTGGTTTTCAACATGTTTTTGGTTAATTTATGGCACTAGTAGCAACCAACCAAATTTCTCATCAATCCATATCACTTTTTGTCAAACTGAAAGTAGCTAAAAATAGCTTATTTTGCAGGTTTTAATGCAAAATTGAAATGATAAAGTCACTAAAGACGCTTTCATTTGTTGACGTCACTTCCGGTCAAAACAGGACGGAAGACCTACTTGTGCTTATGCAACGAGCTTTTTTTGAAATATTGTTTTTTTTCCTTACCGATTTTGTTCACGCGATTCCTCGGAAACGACTGGCACTATTTTCATAAAACTTTGATTTTTGTAATCAATTTTTATTTATTTTTTTTCAAATTATATGTCAGCTTTTTTTATAAAACCCAACCGCAAGCCATAATAATAATAAACATTATCTAGGGTCATATATTTTAATTCAGCTTTTGTTTCTGAAAACAAATTTGAAACCACTTTTTATAATGTTTTTGAATAAAGCTGAAAATTTCTATTTACGTCTTTATGCAAGTGCATAAAAATTATCTTTGCGGATTTCATGTGGTGAAATGAATGTTATTTAGGTATAGAAATAGGAGGGTTGTCAAAAAAAAAATCGTAGTTAGGGAGAATAGTTTATTTTCTCTTTGCTAAATCAAATTTCTTTCTTGTCATAACAAAAAGTAACATTTTATGCTCATGCATTTCAAATTTCATGACGATACCACATCTAATAAGAAAACTATGAAAAAATAAAGAAACCATGTAAGCGTACATCGGCGCACGAAAGCAAGCGTAATATACCTCTTTCATAACGTCATGGTCTCTTTTTCTGCTTTACATGAGACTATTAACATCCAAAAAAGTATTTTTTATAGTGGAAACCCATTCTTGTCTAAGGGACTCATTTAAAATTACCGCTGTCTGTTTTCTAAAGCAGATTCAAATTTTAGTCAAAATTAAATTATTTGAAAGATCACCTTACATTTAAGGTAGCAGAGAATACACCTTGTTTGACGACTTTCATGGTCCAGTGCGATCCCAAATGTCTGCGTTAAACAAACAGTCCTCTACTTTACATGCACTAACTTTTTTAATTTTCGATATGAAGGAAAAACTATTTTTGAATATCATACTATTTAAAAAACAACTTTCCTTTTAAAAAATAGAGTGTGAAGTCTTTTCTGTACTCTATTCCCTGTATCTGATGAATATCAAACATACGAAAAACAATTTATTACTTTTCCGTGCGCCGCGTAAGCGTTAAACGATGTCTCTTTCATCAATCTCAATTCGAACAAAAACACTTTGAAAATCTTGCCACCAGTCGTCTTTTTCTAATGGTGTTTATATGAAATTTTGACATGTTATTTAGATTTTGATTCTGGTTTCAGTGATATAGTTCTAGTTAATTTAGTTACAGGTAATTTTAGTTCAATCACTTACATAATACCAAAGAAATAAAAGCAAATGTAATAGTTATACGCAAAAATTATTCCGAATTTTGGTCGTGCGCCGACAGACCATATCAGTTTTTATATAAATCGTCCAAATATAATAAATATGAAAGATATACATTTAAGAAATCAAGAATTTGAAGAACATTGAAAGTATTATGTCTTTGCAAGATTTGGTTAGTATTCGTTGCGTGTTAACAAAGTTATTAATATTGTGTGCAACTTTTGGGACAACCCTCGTACATGTTACAAGAGGACCATGGGTCACATCGCTCACCTGAGCACTGGGGCTAGGAAAAGGTAGAAATTGGTTTATTATTGAAAAGTTTAAATCCAAAAGTCGTCCCATGACCAATCATAAATTTGCTATTCTTGAGAAGATGATTTTTAAAGAATTTTCCTATATATTCCTATGTAAAACTTTGGTCGGCCATTGTGGCCCCGCCCTACCTGCGGGGGTCCTGATTTGAACAAACTTGAATCTACATTACCTGAGGATGCTTCCATATAAATATGATGAATTATGGCTTTGTCATTCTTTAGAAAAAGATTTTAAAAGAATTTTCCTATATATTTCTATGTAAAACTTTGGTCGGCCATTGTGGCCCAGCCCTACCCGCGGGGGTCATGATTTGAACAAACTTGAATCTACACTACATGAGGATGCTTCCATATAAATATGGTGAATTATGGCTCTGTCATTCTTGAGAAGAAGATTTTTCAAAAATTTTACTATATATAATTCTATGTAAAACTTTGGTCGGCCATTAAGGCACCGCCCTACCCGCGGGGGTCATGATTTGAACAAACTTGAATCTACACTACATGAGCATGTTTACCCATAAGTTTCATCTTTCCTGGCACAGTGGTTCTTGAGAAGAAGATTTTTAAAACATGCCATCAAATTTTTATTAATTCCCAATTATTTCCCCTTGAATAAGGGCGTGGCCCTTTATTTGAACAAACTTGAATCCCCTTTACCCTAGGATGCTTTGTGGCAAGTTTGGTTGAAATTGGCCCGGTGGTTCTTGAGAAGAAGTCGAAAAAGTTTACAGACAGACAGACGGACAGACAGACAGCTAGAAAGACGGACAGACCCAAATAAATATCCCCCACTTTTTAAGCGATGGACAAAAAGTCATTACATGTAACTGGACATGTTACATTCGGCTATATTAAGATAACTGAAGCAAAGTGATAGAAAAGTATAGAAAAATACATATTATAAACAGCAAGATATCGCTAGCCAAAGATTTCCGAACAGAAATCTTCTCAACACAATGTAGTAGAGTAGATTTTGGATCTAAGACCCTTGGCTAGCGAAGATGAACAATATAACTACTCACTAGATTTCCTGAAGAAAAATTGCAAATATGCAACATTGGACCACTGAGTCAAAGTTAACTTCCACCAGGCTGTTTTACCCCAAAAGGCTCGTGTGAAACTACATTCATTATAGCCATCCCCCTCTAGATGTCCGTCTACAGCTTTGTCTGCTGTCGCCCATCCTGCGTCGTGTGTGGAACTCTGTGAAGCTTCTTCTTTGAATGCTAAATTTCTGGCCAAATTTTCTAATATAAATTTAAAATTTCTTGAGAGTTAACAAACTAGGGAACGCAATTCTGTTTCATTTTCAGCTCACCTGAGCCGAAGGCTCAAGTGAGAGTTTCTCATTAAAAGTTGTTCGGTGTCTGTCGTCGTGTCATCGTCGTTGTCGTAATTTTTTTACATTGTAATCTTCTTCTCAAGAACCTCTGGACAAATTTCAACCAAACTTGCCACAAAGTATCCTTGGGTGAAGGGGATTCAATTTTTTTTAAAATGACGGACGATGTCTTCTCCCGAAGGGGATAATTATGAATTAGTGACAGCGTAATGGTATGTTTCTAATAATATTATTCTCCAGAACCACTGGACCAGGGAAGATGAAACTCATATGAAAGCATCATCAGGTAATGTAGATTCAATTTTGTTCAAATCATGACCCCCATGGGTAGAGCGGAGCCACAGTGGCCGATCAAAGTTTTACATAGAAATATTAAGGGAAAAATCATTAAAATCTTCTCCAGAACCACTGGTCGAGGGAAGATGAAACTCATGTGGAAGCATCCCCAGATAGTGTAAATTCATTTTTTTTCAAACCAAAACCTCCGGGGGTAGAGCGGGGCCACAATGGCTGATCAAAGTTTTACATAGGAATTAGGAATTATCTTTGAAAAATCTTCATCTCCAGAACCAATGAGCCAGGAAAGATGAAACTTATGCGGAAGCATCCTCAGGTAGTGTAGATTCAAGTTTATTCTAATCATGACCCCCGAGGATAGGGAGGGGCCACAATGGCTGATCAAAGTGTTACATAGTAATACGTAGGAAAAATCTTTTTAAAATCTTCTTTCCAAGATCACCAAAACCATGATTGGTTATATTAATATGGAAACATCCTAAGTTAGAGTTAATTCCAATTAGTTCATATCATGACCCCTAGGGGTAGGGTTGGGCCATAATAGGCTATCAAAGCTCTACATAGAAATACATATAGGAAAAAATCTTTAAAATCTTCTACTCAATAACAGCAAAGTCATGCCATGATTGTTGATATTCAAATGGAAGCATCCTCAGGTTGTGTAGATTCAAAATTGTTCAAATCATAGTTCCAGGGGTTAGGGTTGGGAGTGAGGAAACATTTGGGGATCAACAAAGGGATATGTACTAAAATACCTTTATTTTTTTCTGGGGAACATCAAATCCATGATTAGCATTTCTTTTATATGGATCTACTGGAAGCATCCTGAGATGGTTTGGATTCAGGTTTGTTCAAATTATGACCCCTGGGGCTAGGATGTGGCCACAGTGATGGATGATAGTTTTGCATAAGAGTATATGGGAAAGAAAAATCTCCAGAACGGAATAGTTTTGTATAATCAAATCAACATGTAAGCATCTGCAAGTAGTAACGATTTAAATTTATTAAAAAATGTCAAAGGGTGGGGGGTGGCGGTGTTGTTGTTGGGGGAGTGGGTGTTAGTAAGGGGTCACAATGGGAGATTAAGTAATTTGTTGAACAAATCTTTCAAAATCTTTTCAAGTATGACAAAGTTATACATGTACGCTCTATTGATTTAGTGACATCCTCAAGAAATATGAAATTCAACCATGTCCCCCAACGAAAAAAACTTTTCATTACTGCGATGAACTGTATCTTTTTATCTAGCCCTTGTGCTCAGGTGAGTGATGTGGCCCATGGGCCTCTTGTTATTAAGATAATTTCAAAGAATTCTTAGTTAGGCAGAACGGTTATGTGACTCCTGTGTAAGTGAAATTGTAGCTGTGAAAGTTGTTACTAAACTTTTTGTAACTTTACATTAAAGATTTTTATTTGCACATCTAAATGTGAGGGAAATATTATGTAAACTGGACCAAATCAAAATTATATGACTTAAAGGCTTTGACAGAGAGTAAACAGGAAACCGAAAGATATCAATTAAAGGATACCGAATGGTGAGGAGAGACAGAAACCGAAATGAGGGTGGAGTATTATAGTTTTTAAAAGAGAAATGTTTACTGTTACAAACTTTAATATCAAAAAGTATTTTGAAATGCTTGAATTTGTCATCACTATATTTGACAGTCTACTAAAACATATTGTGTCACATCCTGCATATATCGGCCACCAGATTCCATATTGATTCCATCTGTGAATATTTTTTTATTCTTACTTTTTCCAATTTTTTGATAAAACACATGCATCGATAACTAAAATTGCAAATCGGTTACTTCGATAAAAATATATCTTGTGCAAATATATACTAAATCACTAGGATTTCTATTTATCGTTAGTTGACATAGACTTGACCTAATGTTTTACAAATACATCAATTTGTTTTGATTAATATTTCATTATTAATAAAAATATTATGAACGGTATATTGAACCTGGGTTTAACATTTCGTAAAAAAAATTATTGTAGCATTAGTATTTCAAGTAAATAAGTTATTAACCATTACGATCAGTCATGAGTGTCATCTTTGTCAATATATTTATGTAAAATTTATCAAAAGCCATCACTGGAGTGACATATACATGTATGAGAAGGATATGGAAAAAGCGAACAGTATTCAATCTCAAAGTCCATAAAACGATACAAAACAAGAGCAAAGCAAACACGGACTTCCGAAACATCAGAGATGGGATCAGGTGCCATTGGGGAGTGAGCATGCCCTCCTGACAGGTCATAACCGCCTTGTGCTGATTTTCATGATCGTGAAATAACGGAAAAAACCATCGTCAATTCAGTGTATGAATAATGAACTAACAATTGGTATGAAAAATGTCAGTCAGCATTTGACCCAATGATAAATTTGCTGACAAGGTCATGAGAATATGTTTTGGCAACCAATTCGCACAAATTTAAATCAAAATATCCTAAAGTTTTCCACAAAATTAGCTGAATAGAAATTGGCCAAAGCTACCCCTGTGCACATTTATAGTACATCGGTAGGTATATTACAGACGACTAAGATCAATGGAATTAGGTTACATGTAATGTATTAAAAAGTCTGAGAAAAAGTTAGACCGCCCCGCCCCATGCGATAGGATTTTAGAGTTTAAACAATCGCCATTTTTTCTTGTCTAAGAGCTTTTTTTAATTTCAGGTAAGTTTATTTCTGTCACTCCCATCCACTCTCAGTTTTTCATAACAGAAATACTATATAACATATGTTCTGGTTCGACTTGAAAAATTTAAATTGACGCATTGCCAATTAATTTACAGCAATACAACCCTATGTTTAAAAATCAAATCAAATAATCTGTTTCATTTTTATTATTTTTTTTTCAATTAATTAAAGAGCAAAGTCCACGAACCATCAAAAAATGCCTCTTGAAAAATATTCACGCGATTTTTATCATAGATAGTATAGACTTTAAGCTTTTCATAACCGTTTTTCTTTTTTCAATATCTATTATACTTTTTAAAAAAGAGGTCTTGCAATATGGCAATATTTTAATGGAAAAATGCAGTAGGAACGTCATTGTAATGTAACGTCACGTCAATTAGCGATCGAATGACTTTGCTATTATAATGCACAGATATATAGGAATATAGGACTTTTAAAATGCAATAAGTAGAATCAATTTTATATTCATGTTATCAACTTCATAATCAATAAAAATGATAATTCTGAATGAATAGAATTAGAAAAAAATATTGGAAATTACTTCCGCTGCGGGAGTTTTAGATCCATAAAATTTTTGATACTGCAGCCTTTTATCGCAAATCTTGTTTGAAAGTACACACTTTGGCTGATATTGACTTGTGATGCGTTGAGTGACGATACTGATGAATATGACTGAAATACAATTGAATCTTACCGACTTTCGATTGTGCAATCCAACAAAGAATCTGATTGGTGCTTTTTTATAGGCCCGCCCACTTTTTCAAATGTAAAGCCGAAAATATGGAATGTTTCGAAGTAAAATAGAACAGCTGTCGAAAACGGGCAAAAGAGTGGTATATTTTGAACTAAGAATTTAATAGACCTTTACAATACCTTATTAATTATTGTGAATGTGAGTAATCTGTTTAATGATCTTCAAATACGATATGTTCCAGAGCTGGCAGCAGTCATGTAATGTTATATCAGGTGCATGTTCCCGGGGCACATGAACACAACCGCTGGCGTTTCTCGTTTTTTCTTCTTCAATGCACCAATAAAAATAAAACCAACTTAGATTTGGTAAATGTTGTTACATTAATTATTCTTAACAAGAATTGTACGTAATATTTCATATTTTTAATGAATAACATTCGCGTTGTGGTTTTATATAATATGTCTTGCGCCATATAACGCTACAGACCCCCGTAATGCAAAAATGCTGAATTTACGGAGCATTATTTTTTGCACTCTTTTGAGGAGAATTTCTCCACTTTTTAGCATTTGTTAATCAACTAGCGTTCACTCCCTAATTCTAAACCTATTCTGTAGCCAATTTGTATATTTTATCCACCTCCCAACCACTTATAGTCGTCTCCACAGGCAATAAACTCGCTTGAAGTTAATTTTCAGTGAATTGACCGATGCTGGAAAGTGGAGAAATTCTCCTCAAAAGAGCGCAAAAAATACTGCGCCGTAAATTGCACCTTTTTTGCATTACGGGATCTGTAGCGTTATGGTCAAACCATATCGCTACAGATCTGCAACTAAAATTCGCCATAACAGTAAAAATTTCACTTCCCGCAAAAAAGAACAAAGATCTAGATTTTTCTGGTCGCATGTTTATTGCCATGGCGACCGTTGAAATGGGAACGTATTAGCACAGATGCATTTAAAAAATATGGTATTTTTGACAGTATTGACAATAAAGCAGTAAACTTTTGAAAGTTCTAAAGTGTAAAATGTCGTCATTAGGAAATCGGCAGAAATACGTGTAGGATGAAATGAAATAGCGTGTGCCCTCGAATGATATCCATGTATAACCTGCGTAAGGAATTTTTTTTTCAGAGTCAACAACGCTTTCCGCGCCAGAGTGGGCGGGTCCTAATCAACCAATTAAAACGCTTGTTTTACAAAACGAAATCTGTGATTCAAATTGTTCAATTGTCAGATCCAACAGTATCATCACACAACGCAACGCTATTTCGGCCGGAGTATATACTTTGAAGCGAGATTTGCGATAAAATCTTGATCTAAATACCAGTACATTACTTAAAAAGAAGTACATGTACACAATAGTTGAAAGGACCTTTTTCTATACATCTTAATAACTTAGCGAGCACTCGCGAATATTAGGCCTCCGCTGTTAATAAATTTTCACAGGCAAGCGAGAAATATCCGCGAGGTTCGCGCACACCTCAATCTCACAGATATTTTTTCTCATCTTCGCGAACCAGCCAATCGCTGGGTCATGTTTAATCCAGTAAAATAATTTATGTATGGAGCATGGTATTTGTTGTGTGTTGTTTATTAATACATTGTTATCGATTGATTTACGTACATGTAATAATTTTATTAGGTTTTTTTAATTGTGCATTGCTAGCTTATCGTTTATCACTTTCCATTTCATTTTCAAATAATGCTTTCCATGCGCATGTAACTCTTATAAATACGTGACAAAATAAAAAGTGAAATACAAGTACAGACATTAACATTTTACTAATACTTGCAGGGAAAGATTGATTTTACCCGAAAAAGGCTACTTAATAAGACCTTATTATAGACTGCATTTATAACAGGAAAGTGTAAAATGGTCTCCGTTTTTCTTGAAATATATAAAACACATTTATGGTCGTAGTAAGACATTTTAGAAAAGAAAGGAGGGGGGGGGGGGTATACAAAGGACAAACATATACAAAGTTCTATCTTTTAAAAAAAAAATTTCCAAATAACGTTAGTGTAAATTATATAATTTTGAAGTATATTTTAGACAAGTCCTGTAGTTCATAATAATTCTCATGTAATTGTATGTAATGAATGTATAATTTATGTCAAAGCATGGAACACCCCCCCCCCCCCTCACCGTGACTACTTCTAATCGTATAGTGATAAACTACTAATCTAATCTTCGTACATAATCTAGTAGCGAATCCAGCGATTTTCAGATATTAAATGCAGAGGAAGACATATAGTCCCCCTATACTCCTTTCCGCCCACCATAAGCCATAACAATGCAGGGGCAATTTTGATTGTTGATCTATACATGCAAAAAATTAAATACAGAATAATCAATATTTGATATGAAAAACACTATAGGGGCCAAAGAAGGGTCTTTGATTTGATGTTCTTTTATAAATAATAATAAACACTATCTAGGGTCATATATTTTAAATTCAGCTCTTGTTTCTGAAAACAAAATTGAAACCACTTCTTCGTATATAATTCTTTTGAAGAAAGCTAAAAATTATTTTTCACGTTATACAAGTGCATAAAATTTATCTACGCTGGTTTTATGTAGTGAAATGAATGTTTTTTTAGGGTTTCAAATTAAAAAAAAAACTGATTAATATATATTGCTGCTACATGTGATACTTATAATACAATTATATTTATTGTATGCATCGACGTGGGGATTTGTTAAATAATTTCCCGTTTTAATTAAATGAATTTAACAAAGCGACAGAAAACTACATGTATATCTTTAAAAAAAAGAAAAAAGAATTTTCCCCATTTCTCCCTGCCACTGATTCCCAATGACTGCTTCTATTATGACGTCACAAATGACGTACACCGAGTAACGTCATGTACAACTGTTAACTCAAAAGGTTGTTTTCCTTTGATTTCAGAAATGTAATTTTAAAATTCTTTGCCACATTTATTTCCTTCAATAAACAATTGACTGTTTTTTTTATCACCATGTGTTTTATCTGTTTATTTGATGTCCTATGACCTACCAATGAACCACTGACTGTCATTCTAAAAAAAAAATACCGATTCTTGATAACAAAGTTTAGATTTAGTCTAATTTCTTATACTCGTCACAGTCATAAAGAAACATAATAATCGACATGGAAGTTTATATTTGCAATAGTCATACATATAGTAAGTTGAAAGTTGTACTTGTCCGTAAATCAATCTAATTTTGGAAAAAGAACTGTCGATAAATCGGCATTTTTAACGGATATGTTTTTAGACTGAAGCCATCATATTTATTCCAGTAGTCAGACGTGTCAATAGGTGCCTCAGTTGACATTTTCTTACTTGTGTGATATGAGTGTCCATCCACTTACATAATCAATATTATACACCTTTCTAATTGATCCTTTAAAGTTTGAATAAAAGACAAAGACAAATATGGTGGTTCATGATCATAGCATTTTTACACGCCTTGACATTTTATTTTATTTTTTTCACCATGAGCACACTCGTTACCGCAAAATATTTTCATTGGAAATTATTTGTCGAACAGTTATAATTATTTTTCTGTTTCAATATTTTGCGGTAACGACTGTGCTCTATTTGAAATTCACGATTTATTGTGTAAAATTTGAGCAATTTTCCGGAAAACCTCGAACCATGCTGCGTTTTAGAATTTAGTTTGACATCGTAACATCCGGTTTTGACGAAATTGTTGCACATGTGAAATGTGTCAATGTTCTAGGTTGATAATAACCCAAAACATATTTTCTATTGCCCTTTTCAAAATATACATATTTGCTAGGCCAAATATGGCATTTTGTGGATTAAATTCTTTTGGAAATAGTTAAATGAAAAAAAATTAAAGGAAAAAAAATTACCTAAAAATTTTCAAAAATCCAAAGAAATGGTAATTTCTGATTATTTAAAAAAAAAAAAAAAGGATAATGCCTACTACATTGTTATTAACCCTAAAAAATATTACATACTTTATTGATATTGATATGCCTTTACAAAATAGACCACGAATAACACCCCAAATTAAATCAAGATAAATAAGCAAGCACCCACAAATGACCGAAAACACTCGCTTCTGTTTTGTTATGAACGGGGATGCGAAAAAATCCGTAGAGAATTTAGAATGACAAAATGGCTAAACAAAATGAAAATAAAACCAGTTGACCTTTGATATAATTTTAGTTGTGCTTTTGCTGACAAGGTTATTGTATCGAACGAAAAATAGCAAAAATGTATTGACGAAAAAAATGTATCATAAATCATTTATATAAATTACCTAGGCCACTTGTTACATTTATAAAGATAATTCCAACACAGATTACATGCAGTAAAAGGTCCATGTCTTCCAATGGTATAATGTGACTTATTCTGCTGAAAACTAATATATTTGATTTTTTTTTGCTTTGTTTCCTGTTTGGCTTCTCATCTTTCTTCCTTATGACTGTCATACAAATTGTATTTAAAAATAACTATTCGATAAAAATTTTTCAGGAAGTTTGTTTAAAGAATGAAAGGAAGAACAAAGTCACATTTTTACTACTTAATTGCTTTTTTTGATTTGTCGGAAAACGCGGAAAACTAAAGTAATAAAATCAAGTAGCGTAAATAAAATATGGGTGGTTATTTATGCAATTGAGCTACTTCTTAGGTCATAGGGTGTTGTTATGTAATATTTCATTGCAAGGCTCTAACGGCTCTCGAGATATCACGCGAAAACGAAAGTGTTAAAACAGAAAGAATTTATGAATTTATCATCTTGATCTTTGACCTTTGGACATCAAGATCAATTGGTTTCTTCTCTAGGTCATAGGGAGATGCTACAAGCAATTTTATCGCAGAAACCTCAAAGGGTTCTCGAGATATCGCGCAGAAACGAAAGCATTACGGACAAACGGACGGCTAGACAGACAGACCCAAATTAATATTTTCCACTTTCAGCGAAAGCGTGGGTCACAAAATTTCGAAAGTTTTATACGATCTCTTTAATTCACTCTTAACATTATTATGCGCCAGAATTTTTTCGGGGCTTATATTATTTTGTCTGTCTGTTTGTCTGTTTATCTGTTTGTCTGTTTGTTTGTCTGTTGTCAACGTTAATCTTCGCTATAACTTTTGAACCGTGAGAGATAGAGACTTCATATTTAATTTGCTTACTTCAGTAATTAAGCACTTTTAACTGAAACAATGGACAATGATCTTTTGACCTTGACTGTGATCTATATGCTTAAAATAGCTTTTTCGAATTTTCGCCATAACTTTTGAATCATAAGAGATAGAGACTTCCTGTTTGGTAAGCATACTCCACTAATTAGGTTCGTTTTTTTTATTAACAAGATCAATGACCTTGTGCCTTTACTGTATCCTATATGCTAAAAATAGCTTTTTCGAACATTCTCTATAATTTTTAAACCAAAGGAGTTAGAGACTTTATGTTTGGTGTGCATACTCCACAAATAAATGCTTTCAAATGACACCAAGGACAATGATCGTATGACCTTGACTGTGACCTATTTGCTAAAAATTGCTTTTAAGAACTTTGTTGCCGCCGGACGCATATTCTTTCACAAACCCATCTTGTTTTATTTTTGTTATTTATAACATTTTACATAAATCTGTACATATATACATTAATATTCTTTGCATGTTTAATTTTTTTTACGATTTCAGATTGCGCGCAAATATATATATACTAGCTGAAGAACTTTACTAGCTCCCCGAAAAAAAAAAAATGACAGATCATTGAGCTACAATGCCATCCATCGATCTAGATTTAGGAAAATCATTGAATTAAAGCAGAACTATGTGAGTTAATAGCCATTCTCTGTAACCACTTAAACTTCGTTGCCACGCATGGTCATCGATTTTGATGAAACTTCACCCATGCTTAGTACTTGACACCAGAAACAAATATCAAACAAAATTTCGTTGCTATGTGTCTCGGTTGCTATGGCAACAGCCGGAGAAGTTTGAAAAATCGAGATTTTCATCCACTTTAAATCTTGACTGTGGCTTAATAAAAACTAGAAAAAGCAAATAAACCATTCTCACAAAAACATGACTCCTTGATGTCACTTATACTGTAAAGAAAGTGTTTAGATTATATCTCTAAGTAAGTGGTAACCAAGGGTACTTTTGGAATACATTTAAAATGCTGAAATATGCTGAAAAACACTCCGTATTCACTAATTGTAGGTGTTACATGCTCATACTCAATCAAAGATTTAAGAAAAACAATGAAAATGTTTGACCTTAAGTATATAAGTATAAGCAATATTATTCTATAAATAACTTTTATGGTTGCCATGGCAACACAGTGTAACCATGCAAAACCAGTAACTAAGATTGGGTTAATCCTACTGTCTTGAGGAAAAACGTGAAAATTCAAGACTGGCAAATATGCATCCTTAGGACCTTGAAACACCAAAACCATAAGAAAAATTGGGTATAATTGCTACTTTGCAGTGTTACCATGGAAACAAAGAAACAGTGCTTAAAAGTGAATTTTTTTTCGCTGCATTAAGAATTAAATTGCCATTTAATCAAGAAACAAATTAAATGACTCAGCTTGAATAGTACTTATCTGTTAGAACTGAAGTTGAATATCATATATTGATAAAATTTGATAAATAAAACAACACTGTTGCTATGGTTACCAAGAAGGGAAAATGTTCGATTTTGTGAACTTTATATCAATATTAAACCCTGTATGCCAACTTCTTGCATCCACTTAGAGATTGGATGATAGTCAAAATTAAAAGTCAAGTTAGCTGTTAATAAATATCAATCATAAAAGTTTTGGGAATCTACATTTAAGGGTACGTATCCAAGGAAAGAAAATATTTTTCAGGTTTTTAAGCAGATATTTTCCGCTTATTTCCATAGCAACGCTCTATTTAAAGAATCTAATCTGAATTTTTTCAAATGGGAAAACTTGGAGCACACCGACATCTTATAAAATTGATCATTAGTTATGAGGAAATGTGCTTTTTCAAAAGATAGGATCAGATTTAATTATACAGAGTGTTACTTTGAAGGCTCTTTGTGGTATAAAAACCTTGGCAACCATTGCCAACCAAAATGAAATATCATATTTTGTTCTTGGTATATGTTTCAAGGCTCTTTTTTCTATTATTTGGTAACATTTCATCCTATAATTGCTTTTTAATTTTACGTGTATGACTTTGTAAAATTCAATGAATATTTTTTTTTACTTTTGAATACTTTGTTACCATAGTAACGTATGTAATAGTTGATTTACCAAACATGTTTATCATGCATTTGAGACATCTGACCTTCAACTTTTCGAAAGAGTCATTGCCAATTGTTTGCTTTTTCGCAAATGTTAACTATGGGGCTCTAAATATGTTTAAAAAATGCAATTTTTTTAAAACTTTAAAACATGTTGCCATGGTAACTATAAAATATAGCAACCAATTTTTGCCTGATTTCAGTTTAGGGTATCAATTACTTTTATCATAGAGAGTTTGGAGAAATTCTAAGACTATGCTTGCCACAGCTCCTATATAAAATTTCAAATCATTACAGAGAATGGCTCTTAATTAATGTTTGAATATTTATGCTGGTGTTAACGTTATGAACATTTCTCCCGATAACCTGAATGTGTGATTTATAGACATTCTGAGCCTAAATTCCAAGATATAAGACCTGTTAAATCCACACCTCCAACAGTTCAACACTGCTTTTCAGACCCTCTATGTTTTAAATTGTCCCTTGACATCTCCCGAGGATATTTTAAAAATTATCGAAGCTGTTAGAAATGGTATCCGTGTGACTTTTCGCAAGAACATTTCCCCCATGATTGAAGAGAAAATTCCCCCCACTTCGCGAGGAGCTAGACCATCTACATAATGAGAACAACCACAGTACGGCAGACGGCCGCTCATTCCAGTATCAGATATTCCTAAGTCAGAAGGAAAAAACACCAGTCTAAAACTCCTTGAGGACACCTCAACTGCCGGAATAAAGCTGTCAAAAGAGGATATTCTTAACTCACAAAAAGTTAGAAACCCCCAAAACAGGTCTCCGCTAAATCGCTAGCTTGAATTATGTTGATATTAAATTTCATGTGCTTAGAAACTCCAGACTACAAGGAAACCAAGCAAATTTTGCCAATGAGGATCTGAAAAAATTCCATAACAGACTTCTCTTTCAACTATGCTGTCAAAATCTTCTAAAAATGCCAAATCCCATGATGGAAAAATAACCGTCATAGACAATCCCAATAAGTACCATCATACCAGAGATGAATCAGACCTGGTCAATTTGGACATGCAATTTAGAAGGCAGTGTAAATGTTTCTTTCACAAAATCCTATGATGACAAACTTTCAACTCTTTCTGACAAACATTTTAATTTGTTCTTTAACATTAAATGTTAATCATACCAATAGCTAAAATCTAATCTATTTCTTCTTGTATGATCGAGATTACACCAACATTATCCACAACTTCTCAGATTCTTATTTCCTATCCATTATTTGCATCTCTTATTTATTTCAGAAATAAATAACAAGTTTATAAACTTCAATGGGACTTGAAGTGGGTCGGTCACGTGATCAAATCCTGTGAAGGCCGAAGGCCTTCTTAGAAGATTTGATCACGTACCCACTTCAATTCCCATTGAAGTTTATAAACTTGTTATTTATTACTTATATATACATTTGAGACAGACAATTGAATATTTTCGAATGTAAATTATTGCACTAACCGTCCGTCGTCGATTTTGAAAAATGATATAAGGTGTAAATCGGCTTGCATGGCGGTTACGCTTCGAATTCATTAGGCTAAGGAATCTATTTCGAAGGGAAAATTTTGTGAAAGGGTACTTGTGATCCGTAATTGTGAACAAATTGTTGTCTAGAAATATTTTTATTCGTAAAAAATGATATTCGATGCTGAAAAGACACAAGAAACACGTCCGAAGTTTGATGATAAAAAGTTGGAGGAATTTCGGTCGCTGGAAAGGGATGGGTGGATCCGATGGACTGAGACACTTGTCCGAGATATTTAATTTGCAATTTGATCAAAAACAACCTACGGTTTCAGTAGCTAAAGGCATATCTATCGTAAAACACTGATAAAACGGAGAAACTGCCGACAACTTTACATTAAACTACGAAAAGGCCGAGGTGTTTGGCAGCTGTTCATGGCATGATTGCAATGATATTTTTCAACACATTTACACATTTATCGTGAGTGAAATTTGAAGTTGAAATAAAAGTTTATCATGAAAATTTAACCAAAGGTCTACCCCAAAAAATAAGGATGAACGTTAGAGACTGTGCAGCTGACAAAAGTGAAGAAAAATGTAAACAAAAGTTAGGCTCCTAGTTTTCTCTATATACACAGGTTGAATCGAAAGCCCAAAATCTGTATGAAATACTTATTTACTTTTTAGATAAAATAATAATCATTTTATTTGCTTATTTTGTTCATTTTTATACATTAAAAGCAAGAATAGCAGGTCATTTTTATAATTTATGTACCGGTAATATTATTTATTTTTCAGTATTCTGCAAATTATAAAACCCAAGGAGTTCAGAGTAGTTCTAGCGTTAGCTCTTGGCAATGGGAGACTACAGCGAGATAAGTAAAATATTCAAGGAACTGAGGCTAGGAAGTGACTCGCATCTGGAGACAAAGTAAACAGAAAAGTTATGTTGTGTTTTAATTCTCACTACCGTATTACCGGTGTATCTGCATATATGTACTTTAAACAATCTTGACCGTTCACGGTAGCTCAGTCTGTAGAGCGTTCGCTCCGTGATTGGGAGGTCGTAAGTTCAAATCACGGCCGCGACTGACCCAGTCGATAAAATGGGTAGTAACTGTTTCTTCGCCAAGCGCTTAAAACTTTGAAATGAAAGTTGCGGGTCCTTCGGATGTGACCTTAAAAACCAAGGCCCCGTGTCAGCGGCAGGCGTTAGATCCCTCACTGCCCAATAGCCCTGAGTGCCGAGTATAGGGCAAAATTTGAAGCCCTTTATCGGCATACGGTGGTGATGAGTGAAAATTCTCGAGAGGGACGTTAAACAACACACAGTCAATCAATCAATAAACCATTTTGAATTCATTCAAACTTTGATTAGTATCCTTTATGACATTATTTTGTCAGTCAGTTAATAAAATATATTTTAAAATAAAATACTTGCATTGGACTATAAACATTGGCGGCAGATAAACAAATGTGGTGGTTTTAACAGACAGATCCGATGAATGAGAACTGCATTGTGGATAACTAAGAATACTACTAGAAGGACACAGATCACATTTTTTCTCTGCATTTCGTAAATGAAAGGCAATTTGTTTGTTTTTATTCTTTTATATTTTTTACATGCTCATACTTACAAACAATTCATTTGTTAAAAATGGAATTTTAGGTTACCCAAAGGTATTCTGCAAGGCGACTTGTGTTGCTATTGTTTTTATCTAGCTATCAATTAATACATATTGGTGGATACCCTGACCAAAGCGCATGTGATTACGGGTATTCGTATTATAGAAATACATATGTCCATTTTCATATATATATATATATATATATGTTACAGTAAACATGTGTATATAAGAGAGATGCTGCCCGTTCTCCTCACATCTTAAGAACTTTCTCTAGAGTACATTTTATTATGCATATTTTCTAGTGAACAACAAATTATTAAAAAAAGTTGATAAATGACATATTTCATACTTTCTAATGTTTTTATTTTGATAAATTTATTTACAAAAAAAAAAAGATTAAAAAGTTTCAATCAAATAATTGTACTCTGATACACGCATTCTTCCACACTACTAAACATATAAAAAACCAACTGGTAAGCTACGCTTCTCTGATGGCTGTTCTCCTGGTCGGTTTAGCTATCTTGGAAGGACTTATGTGTAGGGCATCGGGACAAAAGTCGGGAGATACAAATTATATGTACAAGAGCAATAGTGATTGTTACACAAGCAATAAAGAGAATATAATCAATTATAAGTATTAAATTCTGGAATTTGTCTTAATCTGTTCCAATACCGGTAGTTACAGGATGATTTCTCCATTTATTTTCAGAAATGTTTATCTAAAGATATTTTGTTTTTCAAAAGACATGGTTGCTGTTTTTATGTATTTCTTCATAATCGGTAATGGCAGAATTGATTTCTTGGTATACATGGTTCTCCTGTGTACCTGATATTTGGTCATAAGACTGTGGGTTATCCACCAATTTTGTTGGAAGATTGTACTCTTCATTTTTTCCTCTTTTCCACTCTTTCCATTTGTTTTTCAGAAATCTAACCAAGAGGTACGTAACAATTACGACAAGAAGTGTTGCTAAAACGGAAATGACTACAGATGAAGTATTTGAAGTCCCTTCACCTATAAGTAAAATACAATGTAGGTTGGTTATTCGTGTAGAGTGTTTAGTCGTTGATGATAAAATGTTCTGGAATTTTAGAAAAACAAACTTTGACAAGAATTTATTCATGTAATCCTCAGCAGAAAACAGATATGCATTTTAATTCGATCTCACCTGCTTTGGTATCTCCGGGGGATGATAGCACTGGAAAAAAAAAGAATTATCTTAAATGGTTTCTTTGTTACAAGTTTGTTTTTAATTCGGTTAGTATCCTCTTGTTATTGTTTGAATTAACTTCTTAAAAAAAGACAAACGGAAACATTTTCCAAAAAATTTCGGTTTTTTTATGAATACATCTAGGAATCCCTGGAATAGGAAACAGATGTCTGTATCAGTTAAACGAAATTAACTCCTGACTGCAAAATTTAAATTCGTTTGTAAATTGAGTAATCAAATGCACTTTAAGGAAGATTTCACTATTGACGAGTTTGATATCTTAAAATTAAGTGTTCTACCTTTAATTATGTTTCATATGTAAAAAAAAAAAATCCTTAGATTTGGTAAAAAAAATTCCTTCCTTCGTATATGATAAGAGAAATTATCAAGCATTATCTGTGAGGAAAATTTTCTACCACGTACAAAAAGGTATGCTGTGCAAGTTACATGTATGGAATTATAAAAAAAAAAAAAACAAGTCGCGGATTAAAATGAGGAAAAGGGCTGCAAGATCACCCTCTTAATGAAATTTGTTGATAAATAGAAAATGTAGAAACTGCACAGAATCTGAATTAAACTGACCTCTAGTTAAATGAATTTACATGAATGAAAATATTAATTTTTTTTCATGAAGAATATATAGAGATAACGATCAGTATTCAATCTGAAAGTTCATAAAACAATACAAAATAGGAGAAGAGCAAACACAGACCTCTGAAACATCGGAGGTGGGATCAGGTGTCATGGAGGGGTGATTTGTCCCAATTATAAATTGTATTTGCTGACAAGGTCGTTGTATCGATCATAGAACAAAATGACTCTAAACGAGACTGCTGATATTCTTGTTTCATCACCTTGCTTGTCAATAATTTACCTCGTTTTAGAAATTGTTCATACATAGATTGTTTCCTAAGTAAGGGGAGTTCATGATAGAAAAGATAAAGTCATTACGTTTATCATAGGGCTTGGTTGTAAGATTACCATTTACGTCTTTTTAAAGTAAATATCCAAGTATGAAACAGATATATAAGACTTTGTGGAATATGTTATCTCAAGCTCACCAGGATATATCGTATTGAAGTAGGAATGGACATGACCATTGTTAATCGACATTGCGTGGTCGATATATCTAAATGTAGATTTGAAGGCTACAGTGAGTGTTTTCTTCTTTTCACGAATAAGATTGTGCACAAATTCTGCTTTATATGAATACAAAATAGATAGGTCTGCTATAAACGCAGCGCAATTGGTACTCATGAGCATTCCAAAAGATTGTTGGAATACCGTGTCTCCAAAAACCACATAGATATAGTCAATCAGAAATTCAAGCATCTCTTTGATGTCAATTTCAGAGTACATGTACTTGTGTGTGCAATCAGAATGTGTTTTTACAAAATAATTTTGCAAATGACCGATGACCAGGGAAGTAAATTTACGAGTTCCACTTAATTGAAAAAAGCAGCTGTCAAAGATATTAAAAAGCCTGTACTTTGTAAATACCGCGGGGAATTGTTGTGTATGCTGATCCAATGAATTCAAACACAACGATTGTATCAATTTCATTACAATTGAATACACACATTAATTATTCAAAATAAAAATGATAAAAATCATAAAATGAATAATATATCAATTTACCGTTGCAATTAATTTCAATCCAATCACCTTGACAACCCTCTGGGCATTTTCCTGTGATCGTATCACAAAACGTTCCATTTTTACAACCCCCAAAAGGCTTTTCACAACCTCTTTCAAAGAAGCCTGCTCTACACTCTGTAGATATACTTTGTCGGGTTTTATGTTCTTCAAAATAAACTTCCAATTCATATAAGTGTAATAGTGATAGATTTGTGTACAATAAAGTTATTATATAGAACTTGCCAGAATATTTATTTTAACTTTTATTTAACTTGTTATAAAAAACCTCCACTCCTTAGTTCTCCCTTACCTGTGTTACCTGTACATATTTGTATATACCTCAGGGCATAGATCAGGTATTTTGGAAGTGGTCATTGTGATTTTGGTTTTTATTGGGTATTGATTTGAAAAGTCGGATTTTATTAGTTTTCTTTGTTGGTCTGGATTTTTTCCCGTCTTGTATGACTATTAGTTGTTCTATGGTTGATCAGTCTAGACCTATATACACTGACTTGAGACCGAAGATTTCCTCTGGTAAGTAACTAATATTTTCTTATTTAAAATGTTTATCCCATAGAATGCAAAAGCAATATCCATTTGCAGTTAATTACTAAAGTGAATGAATGATTTTGAGAGAAAGTTATTTTATGTTGCAGATTTATTATTGATTACATGATCAATATGAAGTATTTTCTAGAAGTAATTTGATGTTAATCAGATTATGTGTTTTTATGATGATCAAAGATATTTTTGATCATATTGTTCAAAGTTTGGCAATTGGTATATTTTTAATAGATTATATTCTTAAATATTGTATTAAATTACAGATCACCACTCATACTGACATTTGTGATTCAAACATGGCACCTGATCCCACCTCTGATGTTTCGGAGGTCCGTGTTTGCTCTGCTCTTATTTTGTATATTGTTTAATGGACTTTGAGATTGAATACTGTTCGTTATCTCCATATCCTTCTCATTGTATTGGGAAAGCCTGTTTCCATAGAATGGTGAGGTTGATATGTTTTAATCTTGGATACTTTTTATGATTATTTTGGGAGAAATATGTAAAGATTTATATATTCAAGAGTTATCTCCCTTTGATGATAATAATGTAAACTTAGGATGAAAATATATTATCTTCATGTAACATGTAAAGTAATGATTGAACATGATGTGTGTGTGATATTTACATTATATTTATTGTAGTTTTATGATATTTACAGGGCTATCTGCATGTAAGTATACCTATATGATCACTCCACTGTGAATAAATATATTCAAAGAACCTGACAGGACTTTATGTGTGTCATTTCCATACCCCTGTTACATTTGGCGCCCACGTTGGGCGCTATCACTATTACACAAAGGTACCTTTGAAGTAATATGAGCTGCATGTTTGACATCGTAAAATTTTGTTGCAAGGTTGTAATTAACTATTTTAATGACAGAAATGTAGAACATTTATAGTATAACCCTTTTTGTTCATATTTACGATAGAAGAACTTTTAATTAACTTTGATTGAAGCAAAATTGCATTATTGTCGTCCTGTACAATAATGATTCCGTATACAACATTTTTAAACTTTATTTTGGTCTTACTAATCATAAGGTTTTCAAATTACATACAAATTAAACAAATTAACACAATTTATTAGCATTCTCTTTTTTCAAAAATGTAGATCATATTGCTTTAATTAGAAAAACCCTCGATTCTAAAGCAATATTATTAATTTTCCTCTAAATAATATAAAATGAAGCATCTAACCAATTTATATATTGGTTAGCCAAAAATAAAATCAATTTTGATAACTCTGGTACCTTCGTAAGAACATGGATATGGTGCAGGGTCATAGATTTCAATTACAAGTGTTACAAATGTTACTTTTATGTATTATTTGCATTTTGTCATATCTAATCTTCTCAAAAAGAAGCGATAAAGATTTAATCTTGCCTGTGAAAATTAATGAATAAATTCAAATAAAATCAATTATAAAATATGTTTTTGGGTTCACTGAATACCATACCATTACATTGTGAACCATTCCAATGATCATCACATCCTTCCAGACAAATTCCTGTTACATTGTGACAATACGTCAAAGGTTTACAACGACCACATGTCTTTGTGCAGTTGTCTCCATAAGAACCGTTTTTACACACTAGAAATATTTATAAAGAATAATTGATTACATATAAATTGGTAAAATTGATATGTAAGTAGTGAGGGACTTTGTGTTTTTCAGATTTTAAAGAAGCCTTTACAGTAGACATATATTTTAGTAGGCTAAAGTTAAAAGGACGAAAGGATTATTTTTGAATGCCTTAAAGCTATGAATACATCGAAGCCCTTCGTACATGTTTTCTATAGTTTTTGAACTACATAGGACATGTAAAAGGGGTTGTTTCTCATGATTTTAAGATCACAAACTGTTGCATGTGGAACCGTCCCAATGATCATCACATCCTTCCTCACAAATGCCTGTAAGTTTATTGCAATATGTTCCAGATTTACAATGACCACATGTCCCTGTACAGTTGTCACCATAAAATCCATTTTCACACACTATCAAATCAAATTAAACTTAAATCAATATTCTATTAGACTTCAGAATTAGGAAAAGGGGTATTTTTTTGAGATTTGCAATGCACTTATATTTTTATATCCTACCATCACATTTTGATCCACTCCAGTGACTTTTACATCCCTCTGGACAGATTCCTGTGTTGTTATCACATACTGTGCCAGATTTACAATTACCACATGTTTGTTCACAGTTATGACCGTAATAACCAGCCTTGCAAACTACAGAAAGAAATTTAAAAGTTAATTCATGTTAACTTTATCTATTTTATATCATATCAAGTTTATGACATAAAATTGTGTCCATTTATTTTTAAATAATCTTATCACGTACTTTATTTGTAATTTTACAGAAAAATTTTAATAAAGAAAAACCGTGATAGTAACAATGATAAAACTGTATGCATTTCATTTTGTTCGTATACTGCAAATTAAATATACTGTTTTAAAATAACTTAACTTCATTTAAAAAACGTTGAACTGTTTTCTGACGATATTAATCAATCATTCACCCAGCGGTATTTTAGATTGTTTACTTACATTTGCACGCTTACGTATGGTTTCATTATACAAGAATAATATCTTTGATCAGTTTGTTGTTTAACAATGCACCCTACAATTGATGTTTGTTTGTAATCCATCTCTTGCATAGATTGGTATTCGAACCTATAGTTACCGTACTAAAACTTATTTATAGAATAAACTTCCTCTTTTTTTACAGACTCATGGAAGTATGTGCCCCCTAACAACAACAGCAACAACGTGAGGCCCACGGGCCTATATGTCACCTGAGTATCATGTAAAATTTTCCAACAAATGAATATTTTTTGTGTTTTGATTAAACCAGAGTTTTAATACCCAGAGGTAGAGCTGAGGAACAAAAAGATGCATTTCTTCTACGTAATCAGTAGTACCCTACCCGACAAGTACTCTTGACCCTGGATCTACACATTTCACAATTTTGGAAAGACACCCTTGCTCATCATAAATGATTAATTAATTCCAAGATTTCAAAGCATTAATTCATTTTCATTCTACTATCAAAATCCTCCTTTTTTAAGAAACACTGCCCCAAGGAATTCTGTGAGAAGCGCCCTTAAGATTGCTTATCATAACTATGTACAAAACTCATCAGCATAATACCCAGTCGCAAAGGAATTAATGCATTTTTACCATACATGCAATAGAGCACCATCCTTGCACCAGAATCCCTGACCCAGAGGTTATGAAATTCACATTTAAAGAAGAGAACCCCTCTTCAACATACCTAAATATGTACGTCGTTCATTGGTATTATATAATAAGGAGTCGAAGAGATTTTTGAAAAAAATAAATCCATTATCACAATATGATCAATAGAGCCCCGCCCTAACACCAGAACACCTGAACAAAGGGGTCATGAAATTCATTATTTTAGTAGAGACTACCTTCCTCATCATAGCTATGCATTTAGTTTGTTTTCAACATAATCAGGAACATATATTATAAAGAAATAATGCCTTTTCATTATATATATCATCATTAGAACCCCGCCCTAACACCAGAACTCCTGATCCTGGAGCAACGAATTTCACAATTTTGGAAGAGGGCTCAATGCTGATTACAGTCATGCCAACAGTTCGACTGCTTGATATCCAGGAGTAAAGAAGATTTTTAAATATTGATTTTTTTTTATTTTAGTGTTTTGCCTCAAGCATCGGGCACCATGGGATAGGGGTGGTGGGTTAGGGACAATGAAATTCACCCATACATGCTATTTGTCAAAACGGGTTGACATTGGTTCAGTGGTTTCAGAAAGAAGCTGAAAATGTTATATTGTTAACATACGACATACAACGCACGACAGACGACGCACGGCGCACGACGACGGTCGAAAACACATAGCAATAGGTCAAAATGTATTTCACATCTTTGCGCAAGTAAAAACAACTAATTTTTCGCATATTTTAAACTTGTTTCAAAAACTGCTATAGAGTGCCTATATACATTTGTATACTCCCCCTTTTAAAGAGTAAAAAACATCTGAACACTGTAAATATTTGTATCAGAATATATCTGACCATTATAAGTTTTTGCTAACATATTGGATATTTTCTTTATTTTGTATTTTCGTATCGTTGGGCAGCCTAAAACTGTTACCGGTGATACTGACCAAAATGATGACATAGAAATTTACGTATATGTTAATACTTAACAAATTTACGTATATGTTAATACTTAACAACTGAAAGACTTAATGCAACGAAGTTTGAGCTCATTGTCATTTTCCTTTGAATTGAAGAGTTCAAATACTTAAAGGAAGTATGTGCTACACTTTAATGCCTATATGTGTTGTGGTACACTTCTTCTAAAAGACTTTTGCATAAGAAAAACTTCTAAAATATACGTTTACTATATATTTTTGTGTACTTTTCCTTGAATTATACAAAACTTTCATCAATTGATATCTTTTCAAAAACCCCTGATAATGCATGCTGATTTTTTGTTCTATGAACATCTGATGACACTATAATCTTAAATTAGGAATACATGTACCTTAAATTTTCAAAATTCAAATTACCAAAAACGATTAATGGAATTTAAACGTTTGGGTTTTTAGTCTACCGTTTGTTCAGAAAGTTTATACTTAATAATCTAAAGTTCGGTATTATCTTTCGTCTTTCGATTATTTGAAATTAGCTTCAAACTTCTAAAATCCAACTTTGAAACGTTTAAGATTTTTAGAAATTTGGAATTTTGGTTCAAATGTTCAAATTTCTAATAACTTAACACTTTGAGTTTTTAGAATTTTATTTTAAATATCCAAAAATTAAACCAGGTATAGAATTTCATATTTTGGATATTTGAAGTAAACTTCTAAAAACTCAAAATGTACAAACGTGTTTTGGTTATTTAAAAGTTGAGTTTTTAAATCAAAATTCTAAATTTCTAAAAATCTAAAGCGTTTGAAAGTTGGAAGTTTGAAGTAAATTTTGAATAATCAAAAGACGAAAATATTATCGAATTTTAGATTGTTAAGCGTAAACTTTCTAAACAAACGGTAGATTGAAAACTCATAAGTTTAAAATAGAAAATGTGTTTTTGGAAATTTGAATTTTGATTATTTAAGGTAAAAATCTTAAAACTCAAAATGTTAAACCTGTTTTGAAAATTGAAATTTTAGATTTTGGAACTAAAATATTAAAATTCAATATACCAAATCAGTTTGAGTTTTTGAAAGTTAGATATTTGAACTAATATATCAACATTGTAAAACTCTAAATCGTTTAGAAATTTGAATTGTTAAGTGTTACACGGACCACAAATAATGTCCTAAAATTATTGGAATAAATTGATGGCTTTTTAAAAAAATATTGCAATTTTAGGTAAGAGCTTACCCATGCAGTCAGGAGGTTCCAGTAACCTGTCGCTACACCCATATATACAGGAGCCATAAAATGCATCACACTCTTGATTCAAACATTTAAGTGGACAGGATGTGCAGTTTTCACCATATTGTTGAAAACTACACCCTAGAGAAAATAATCAATAAACTTTCTACGTTTAATAAATTATGTATCAGAATAAATTATCCTAGTATAAAAGGTTTTATGTTATAAAGAAACATATACGTAGAACTTCATCAATACCTGGAGTATGTCTGATGCAAAAGCTATGATTACTTTCTTTAAGGTTCATTGATACTTTGATAAGAGAGATAACTCTTAATGGCATGAATATATATTATTCCTTTATAGATTTGACAAGATGAAATGTCTTTTTATTGTTGTTAAATTTTGCCCCGCAAGCTAAGATGTAATTGTTTTATTTCACTTAGAAATACATTTCTTTTTTGGAAAATTATAAAAGATAATATAAAACATTATATATGAATGAGAAGTGGATTAATCAACCTTAAGATTATACATACCCATAACGTTTACTTCGCATATCTCAATGGAAGCAAAGGATGGCTCATATCCTGTACAGGTAGTATTAAGTGGTGGGTCCTTTGAATTAAAGATAGCTATTCCTTTGGTTATTCGGTTTACAGTCACATTCATCACTTGTTCAAGACAAAAGGATGGGTCCTGTGTATACACTTTATATCCACCGGTAGATGGTGGTATGTACGATGAATCATTGAACACAAACACTTTGAATCCTACGTGACGATTTATAGCTAAAAATGTTGATATGATTATGCTAAAAATCCCTGCTGTATAAAAAAATGATTCACTAATTTCTAAGAATTAAAACTACGAAAAAAAAAAATAAATTCACAATTTATTTTCATTTTAATATGTATATCCTTTGTCTCTTTAGCAACTTTTAGTGATATAGTACATTATATTTCTGACTTTGAATTATTTAAAGGAATGTACATTGTATTAAGAGTAGAGATTTGGATTTTGTAAAAGCTAAATCTTTCTTTATATGAGTTAGAAATTTGAAATTACGTTAAGAGGTTGAAATATATTCTTGTGTGGCTTCTATTGTCTGCTTCAAAAATTACACTGATAGCATTAGGCATTCATGAAATATTTTTATTGTATATTGTCATAAAGTAGAGTATCAAACGAATCACATATATAAAATTAAACTTACTTACGTTCCTAAAGAAAATTTTTAGATATGCAACATTCGACCACCGAGACAACGTAAACTTCCACCAGGCTGTTTTATAGAAAGAAGACCGCGTGAAACTACATTCATTATAGCCATGCCACTCTAGACGTCCGTCTACAGCTTTGTCTGCTGTCGCCCATTCGTTGTCGTGTGTGGAGCTTTGTGAAACAATTCCTTTGAATGCTGAATTTCGGGCCAGGTTTTCTAAAGTAGAATGTCTTTCAAGAAAATCAACAGGTAAATTAATACCATTTTAAAAGATAAAATTATCACTTATGATAACACGTGGATTGCCCCTAAGGAACTTAGACTTTTATGTTTTCTAATAATGGCCCCATGTAATGATCTGCAAATGACCCATAGTTTAGTTAAAATATAAAAATGAAAGCAAAACAAACCAATGCAATGTTCTCTATTATTCCAAAAATACAATGTTACTGTGCCGGAATTCTTGGATACTAGCATATTTGAACTGCATTTAAGAAAAGTTCAGTCTTAACTATGTTTCCATACAGGGGCATCACAGTGTTACACAAAATCTTGTTCAGAATAATATTTGAAACGGTTCACAGTCTTTTGCTTAACTTTTTCTGCAAGAAACTGATAACAGTATACACTTATGTCATGACTACTAGGGGCACAGTCAAACTGTTGTTCCGAGGTAATGAGGAAGACCTCTGGCCTCGGGCAACAGTTTCCCAGTTCTTCCCCATTATCGAAGGACAACACTTTGACTGTTTCCCGAGCTGTCAAAAAATAAGTGTTTTATTACCTAACCTACTATATAATTTCTTACAATGATGATGTAGACATAATAATCAATGGATTTTAGAATAAATCGGCCAATTCTTTTTTATTTCTTGAAATCAAACTGAACAATAGACTAATCAAATTCTCACGCCGATTGGTTTAAAAACAATACATCAATAAAATATCAATTTATTAGTGCCTCATTTGTAAACAACATAATAATGTCTTGATGGTTTGAATATAACATGCTGAGTTGGAGTTTTAACGCAAAGATCTACAATGAATGAAGGGTCCTACATTTTCCCCAAACTACCTTCAGAAAAGTTGTTATTGGACTCGTCTTTAAAGTGATATTAAATTAAACATATATTTATACAGATATCAGGATTACTTTTCAGATGATAATTTCAAATTGAAAGCCATTAAATTGCTTTATTGTTTACGTAATTCAATGTTATATAGCTGTAAAGTACGGAAAATGACGTCATAATGGATATTTCAGCTAGGCAACAGTTAATTCTGTGGCCCGGTCAACAGTTCGACTGTTTCTTGATCACGCAAAAGCATTAAATGAATCGTGAAACAGTTCAAAATGCCTATTACAATTTATGTAGTAGGTTAGGTAATAATTTCTTTTTCGTTTTGCTCGCTGATCGGAAGGCCATGTGTCCGAATCGCTGCGACTTGTTTTATTTTTTAAAGAATGCAAAGGTAAGATAAAATGGACAACTAAAGTATTCGATAAAAAAGGGAATAACGGAGGAAGAAGTTCTTGTTTTTCCGTTCTGTATTGCAGGACCGAAAATAAAAGACAAAGGAATAAAAAAATAAATTTTCTTAAACTAAGTGCTACTTAGAGAATAAAATGTGTCTTGAAAACTTTAAGGGGTATCCATATTCGTTTTAAAAATATTCTCAAAAATCTGCTTTGAAAAAAACATTTTTATTATATGAATATTAAATCAGAAAAATGACAAAAAAAATGAATGAGAAAAAAAAAAATAAGTTGACATTTCAAAAAAAAAATCAGATGAAGCAAATTTAATTTCTGTAGTGATTTAAAAGGGAAATGCATAATGCACTATTATGACCCCTAAAAAAGTTAATTAACACACTGTTAGGATGTTGGGATACCAATTTAGAAAAGAGCACGATTAACACTTGAAATATGAAAAGATAATAAGCTTTCCCGAGAATCGAAAAACATCAATTTATATCAAACGTAAGTCTATATAACATATTTCGATGAAATAACACCAATGTTGACCGGAGCAGACATGGACCACTAATGAAATCACATTGCATGGAGGAAGAAGCAAACCCTGTTTGTAATTATTGGTAACATATGCTCTGTGTAATGACCTGTCATTCAGTATATAATACGCAACACAACTTGTATGAAGAGGAACTGTCACTTCCCATTCTATATCAAAATTGTTTTTTGTGGAAAGGTCATTGTATTGACCATATTTTTTGCAAAATGATGATTTAAACAGAAATGAATTACCTAGACTTTCCGTAGCAATTATAAAGGACATTCCAACACAGTACAGTAAAAGGTCCATGTCTCCTAATGATCCAATGTGGCTTATAAAATCTGCTTAAAAATTATAAATATAAGGAATATATTCAAGTCTTTGCAATTTTGTTTCCTTGGCTTCTCAACTTTCTTCCTTATAAGAGTAATACGATTCACACCTTTAAGAAAAACAAACAGAAAATACTTCTATACAAGGTTTCAGGAAGTTTGTTTACTTAATGAAAGGAAGAAATATATCATTTCTACTTCATTAATTTTTTTTTGATTCGATACAAAATAGGGTTAAGTCAAGGAACAAAGACAAATGATGTGATTTATTATGTAAATGATTTAATCAAAATATGTAATGAATTTTTCCTTTATACAGGGATTGCACAGAAGAGGTCAAAGGACCAGGCCGCTATGCAGTGATCATATTGTGTAGGAAAAATAGAAATAAGTTCAGTATGACTATTTACGGAAGAACTTTAATTAAAACTAGAGCTACTTTTAGCAATGCGCTCATTAAATGATACCCCGCCTCCGTCCGGCTGTCAGTCCGTCCGTCTGTTACGCTTTCAGGTAGCAGACTCTTATCCGCAACTCCTCTTATTCCACTTCATGAAATTTGATGAGACTTTCACAGAATCTTTATGACATATTGCCATTGTGCAACTCCTATTTTACTTTTTGATGCGACACATATTTTTTGTTTCCCACAGCAAAACATGAACACTGCCATTATATTCTTACCTTTGATTACCTATGACTTGATGACTTGTGGTAGGGCGGCTTACAAGTTTAAATTGATGCAATGCTTCAAACCGTCCGCAAAAAATATATCGATTTAGCATAAAAATACATGTTCCATGCATGGCACATATCTGTATTTAATTTTTAATGTAATTATTCGAAGTAAATTAGTCCTTGTATATAAAAAAAATCCTCACAAGGCAGGATTCTTGGGTAAACACTTTGCCGTTGGTCCAACAGGACGTCTGACTTGACAGGAAATTTTCATCATAGAATTATTGAACTAAATACTAGTGTCATGCATAAGTATCAAGTATGTCGAATTCAGAATTTTTGAATGCTGACCCCCCCCCCCCCCCCCCCGAAAAAAAAAAGAAAAAAAAAACGTGCAAAATGCTGAGTTCGTGGATCTTTGTCATGTTATATGATAATGCCGAAGCTCTAGCAAAATAGAATTAAAAAAAATCGTTGTCTCATTTCCAACTGTAATGATTAATATCTTCAAAACAATATCTACTGAAGCCTTTTTCTTAAAAACTCATGCAATTCATTAGTAAGGCATAATTATTCATATCCAGAAACTCAAGGCGTTTTGGTTCCATATCTGATGAGAAATTAAAAAAAATAACAAATTAAAGCCTTGAACAACCATTAAGACAAAGTTTATAAGGAATTAAAAAAAATATTCGTGACTCTTATTTTTGTTATCAATAAAGAATTCCTTCGAAACAATGAAAAAGTTGCAGGTGCTTTTAGCACTACGTCACTAAATGACCCCCCCCCCGCCTCCCATAAGATGATAATGGCAAAGTCCATGCTCTGCTCTGGGGAACACGAAATGAGCGTTAGATCAAA